AGTTCTTGTGAGTAGTTAAGGGATAGTAAATCCCGAAAGCTTGAGAAATTTAGAAATTTGATTTTACGTATAACCTTGTGGTAAAGCTGATTTATGCCATGATAATACGTAAAAATTTTATTTCACAGCAAATTGCATACACCACGTATGAAAGTAAGAACGTATATGGGAGCGAAATAGTAGAGCAAACTATAACCGTTAAAAGTAACAAATACTGCATTACTGGTAATCAATATCGTACAAACACTATAGCGAAGTTTCTCCTCAGTCACATTTGGTACTGCCGTGTTCTTTAACAGTTCTTACATAGTTATATATTGCACACAATATGAAAAATTTCCGATGCCAATCCCCCCAATTTTTTTTAAATGTATCACATTTAAAAACTTATGTCCCTCGTTTGTACTACTAGAATTAACTTTATAGGATGAACATTAAATGATACAGCGATAAGATCGATAGATCTTATTAAGAATTACTGTTCCATTTATGAAAAATGCGGTCACAAGCTAGCTGATTATACTCGTAGAAATCGACTAAGAATAATAATTGAATTTACTAATTCTAATCATCTAGTAACCACCTCCAAAATTAGTTACAGTATATTCTAGTTAAAAAAGCGTAAAAATTAATGTTTGCTACAAAAATAAGACATACTAACTATATTTTGATTGAAAAGGAGATTCCATAAAAAATTGGAGATCAGGTTGCTTAACAAAATAATTTTCGTGACAGCTAAATTCTGGGCTCCATATGTAGAATTGCGAAGGATTCAGTCGATATTATTCGTCAACACTGCAAAAGTATTTTATATATCGCAGATAATAAAGAATTGCTATATTGCAACAGAGTATGATTAGATTTAGTAACTAGTTCTTGGCTATATCATTCTTTAAATCTTATAACTATCATATGGGTAGTACTAAGTGAACAGTAGTATTCATCTCTATGTTAAGGTTGTAATTTATCTTCCAAGTAAATGTACAGAATAATCAACTTCAACGTTACATGGCAATTTATACGGCGCGACCAATATAAACCGTCGCCATTTATTATTTAAAGAAGATTCTTTAAATCTTATAACTATGTTGTGGATAGTACTAAGTGAACAATAGAAACTATCTCTATATTAAGCTTTTAATATATCTGCTAAGTAAAGGTGCAGAATAATCACCATACACAAGTTTCGTATATAGGCTAAAATCATCAACGTAAGGATACCAACAATTAATTTATATAGTATTAAGTTATAATTCGCAATAGTAAATCTATTAAAGTATAATATAATTTACGTTAGTTTGATATTAATCAATATATCAGGCCACACTACAACAGCAAACGCAGTCAAAAATTCTCGGCATGTCTTAAGAATCTCACCTATAACTTAATCTGGTGGTAAAGTACAGTATTTTAGTAGTATTTCCAAATGTCTCTCTTACCTCCTTCAGTCAGAGAAACGACCGCTTTCTGTTGAAACAGAATATGTAATTTACCAATTATCGAGCGATCTAAGCGTATAACCGTTTAACGAACCATGTTACTCTATTTCATAATTTTATTGTATATTTAAAACTTTACGCATATAGGTATTTAAGATTAAAATTTACCTGGCCGCCATCAGTAAGTTGAAACTATTGCGCTCACTCTAAGACAGTGCGACTTTGGGTTCTGCATCGCAAGAAATTCTATCACTTTAAACACGATGCCACAAAAACCAAGTTTTTCTTTTGATGAACTAAAACAAGACTATAACTATACATTGACTTTAATGGAAGAAAGTATTGGATGTTTCATTACAACTCATTTATGACGACATAATATTTTATCATAACAAGAGAAAGCATTCATTTTTAACCGCAAAGACAGAGAATAACAGAGAATAAGCACTACTTGTACAGACATTTCGAAAGTGTTATGATTCGATAAGTATCTGTGTGTGAGGTTGATAGATCAAGAATCTTCAAAACTTTAGAAAATTAAGATTAATTGAACAAAACCTCGTTTACGAAGATACAACGTAATCGATTAGCTGAGGATCTCTAACGAGAAAGAACTATCTTACGATACTAAACTACTCGCTTATATACTTTTCCGCGCTTACAGTCTTAACACCTTACTTACTACACACTTCAGCATTAGCATCTCAAATACAGGATAGTTTATACCTTTCATGTGCAGCTCTAGTGTGAGCTCTGTAGCGCTCCTCTTCAGAAGGATTGCAGTTACTAAGCTAGCTATATTTAATACTTAAGCCTGTAACGAGAATATCGATCGCATGTTGAATACAACATCTACGGTAGACATTACTAAATATATCATCAACTTAGAATACAATATTATACTGTCTTACACTGTGACAAAGAATAACAGCATAAATATAAGTACCGCAGTTTGTTCCATTATTTGGTGATTAATCGTCGAGCCTGTTGGTCTACCAGTTTATGAAGATTTATGCTATGAGTGTGGTAATATCACCATACGCACAGCGATGTCATGTTGGGACCATCGAGAAAAAAACCTTTATGCGTTGTGAGTTAGGACTTTGAAGTAATAGGAACGTGTACCGTAGATTCTGTAGACACACTAGTAATAGTAAAAGGCTATTACTCGGTCATTACACCGCCGTTGAGGGTTAAAGTGGAAAGCCGCAAGTTTTGAAGGGGTGGATTTGCGATTTCATTGAAAACTATCCACAGTACAATCACAGACTACTGAGTAGTTCATGGTACAATCATTGTGTAAAGTACGCCATGGCGTGATGCAATGCTAGAAAGCGACAGTGGTAAATTGAAAAGTTAAAAGTATTGCACTGGCCCATACTGTCTGTATACGGTCAAGGAATACTAGAAGAAACCCAATCGTTTTCTTTCTACTTGTCCATGATACAGGATAGGCGTATATGGCTACAATTGAAATTTATATCTATTTGATCGCTTCGTCTACGCTTAATAAAGCAGTTTGGTATCAACCGGTTGTTACAACTGTGATATCATTGCTATTTTAGTCATTATTTTCAAATCTGTTGAAATTTTTATAAAAACTATTCCAATAGTCAAATAGCCAAAGCCATGGACTACCGTACTGTGAATTATATGTAGTAGTTTATACCAAAACTATTGATTGAAATTTCCATCGCTCGGTCTACTTTACTTCGCGTATTCAATTCTACTATCCACTGTGTTGTAGATAGTCCAACAGAAGCGAATCATTTCGATAACGTATTGACGCAAAGTGCACTGTATACTGACATTGGAACGAGAAGAAAAAAATGGAAAGAGTAAAACCTCCTTAGACGTCAATCTCCATATCGTCGAATTACTGTTGCTAACATTTGCTTTCATCATTATTTCAGTCTACGGATGCTTGATACTGCCATTCTATAAGTTATTTTTTCGAAATTACTAATTGATCCCTCGCTCGCAATACTTCGCTCAGGTCTAGCTTCGCGTACCATTTACTTTACAGTCCAGCTGCATTATTTTGGTAGAAGCTATTTTAATATATAGGGTAAACTAATGATTTACTATTGTATATTTTTATCTATTTTACCGATCTGCCCTATTGGCAAATTTTTCATGGTTCGAAAATTACTGTAGTCTACTGTACTTAATATAATAAAGGTTCTCATGAAATATATTGCCATCTACAGGACAGTATACAACCATTTCTATACAGTACAGTGAAGTCAAAGATTAGTCAATGTGTTGGATGTCGGTATCAACTACTGCATTAGCCCATTCGTTGTGGTAGTATTTTCCCCAGTTCAAGTATCTAAAAGGAAATTAAAGACGCTGATACTTGACATGATATAGTACAGTGTCATTCATTGTGGACTGTCCATATTGCAATGAATTTTGTTGTATTTTGGATACAAAGTTTTTCTTTTGAAAGCTATTTCCCATACCATGTAAAGTGCAATACCCATAGGGACTTGTAAAGAAAAAATTTCCATCGCCCATTTAACTTTGACAATAAGGTTCAACTATGTTAAAATGATCCAATGTTTTTAAATTCATAAATGGCATTGAAGAAGAAAACAGCCATGACATACAGTATGACAGCATGGGCTGGTAGTCGTTTGTGACTGCTGTACACTCACTGAGTGTACAGAGTAGGCGTACAGTGCAGGTCATTTCGCCATTTTCCGCCTTCTCTTGTAAGCAAAATCCGTCCATCCGAGGAGAGTTTGGAGTCCAGGTATTGTTGGAGGAGTCCGTTGTGTACTGTACTGTATCATGACTACTGTACACTGTGAGTGTACAGGTCATTTCGCCATTTTCCGCCTTCTCTTGTAAGCAAAGTCCGTCCATCCAAGGAGAGTTTGGGGTCCAGGTATTATTGGAGGAGTCCATTGTGTACACAGTGTACAGTACAGTACTGTACAGTATCATGATTACTGTACTGTACACTGTACTGTACAGTACAGGTCATTTCGCCATTTTCCGCCTTCTCTGGTAAGTAAAGTCCGTCCATCCAAGGAGAGTTTGGAGTCCAGGTATTGTTGGAGGAGTTCGTTGTGTACTGTATCATGACTTCTGGAAGCGTACAGTGTACTGTATGCTGCACGTAATTTCCTATCTTCCGCCTAACAGTAATCTTACAGGCAAAGTCCGTCCATCCAAGGCTAGTTTCGAGTCCAGGTATTGTAGGAGGAGTCCATTGTGTACAGTACAGTACTGTGTGCCATCATGACTACTGGAAGTATACTGTACAATACTCTCAGTCTGAGTAGTCGATTTATGCCCAGTCATTCACCATTGCTTTTGGACTACACCATAGTATAGTATACCATATCATCGAGGCATGGACTGCCAGACACTGGACTCGACTTGACCGGTATAGTATCTCACTGGTCCATGGCCCTGTACAGTGTACAGTGTACAGTATAGCGGATAAAAGGCGTACTGTAGACGCTGGCATACAGTACTGTAGAGTACTGTACCAAGGTGATGATCCACACACCCAAGGTGGTCGAGGGGTTAGTGGCAAGCGGATAGACCATGGCGTGGTTCCTCTACTCCTTGAGCTGGCTAGCTTTAGCTTTGCAAGGCATATTTGTCATCTTATCATTAGGTAAAATTTGTCGTGAATGAAATCACCAAATGCTTAACGTGTTGATGAATAAGAAGCAGTTTGAGCTATGCTTGACGATGTGCACTGGCCTGTGTTGTATTATCATGTCCTGTTTGTGGCTTGGCCTTGCACTGTCAACACACAGGTTCAACCATCACTTATGGCTTGAAACAACCAACGACAACTTGAAGAGTTGGAATACTGTAATGGATTAGCTTACTTTACACTATACTATGAAATGAGGAATGAAGAGATAAACAATCTTGACATTTAGACATCAATATTGATCCAAATTCAGTCATGATACGTGGATGAATCAATGTCATCCACGGTAGGAGCGCAACATGGAACAAATCATCACTCATTTGCTTCAAATAAATCCACGCTTTGAAGAATCGGGAAGAGCGTATGTTGAGCCTTGATAGTAAAAGGCAAGACCTCCGTTTCGCGATATCTTATTGGTCCATTACTTCAATCATAAGCAAAGACCAACAGCAAGTAAAATACAAAGTGAATATTTTAATACGCAATGTCCTCGATATCGCTTTTACAAATACAACTTGACTTTCAAAGTCCAGGAATGTACTTACTGTAAACTGGATAACCTCTACGTTTACATAGACTCCTTCAACAACTCAACGATTGAGAATTAGTGCAGCCAGTTTTTTCCTGTAGGTGTTTTTTCGTATGTTTCCTACGCATAGTTAGTGACTGTAGGTGAAAGTGGAGTAAGCATAAACGAAAGAAACCCTTCTACAAAACAGTACATGATGATAAGTGTTGTTGTACTAGAATAGAATCCATCTCGAACTTTCGACAATGAACTTGCTTCAATTTGACCCCTCATACAACCGACGTATATCAAGAGAGATGTGAAGACGTACTGTATTCCTAATATATATTTCTACCACTCCATGCTATAGAGAATTGGGCTCTAGGTAAAGGTAATTTCAATACACTAATCAACTCGCTGCCAACCACTTCTGACCAGTGACAACGAAAGTCACCAAACAGAATCCAATATATAAGTCACAACATAACATTAGCCAAGTACCAATAGCATTGCTTGATTTAATTTTTATTGCTTAGCAGGTTGCAGATTCAATCCACGTAGGTATAATTTGCAATGCAATCTTGCTTAGCTTAACTGTATTATGACAACAATTACAGTTGACTTCGTATGTATGAAAGGAATACAACAGGAATATATTCTCCTCAATTTTAGATCGATTCAATCACACAACCAAAGTTACTTCTTATGCCAACTTATATTTTAATAATTACTACAAGAAAAAAATATTATTGTACTATATACTACTATATAGCTAAGAGACCATTTTGCCACTTTATAACTATCGTTTTAAAAATAGACTAAAAGTACGGGTAGGCGATACGTACTTACAATCAATAACCTACTCTGCCAGATCGACTTGTCGGATGTCATTGATTGGGTTGAAAAGCATCTAATTTTTAAACTAAATCGTCTCTAGTAGTATTTACGCGTTATTGTACATTACTGTACAAGTCATTCTTATACTCTTCTTCCCAGCTATACAATCTTATACGAGATCATCAGCGGTGCTAAAAAATATTTGAAGGGATTCATTTTATTAATAATCATAATATACTGTACTTAGTCTGAAACTATCCTTATTAAATTAAAGCTTCAGGTTTATACTATCTGTGTGAACTCGTAGAAGAATACTCAACAACTGCGTCGAAAGTCTTTAGGTATCTTATTTGGGTAAGTGTACGATCCTATGAGCAAATCAGTATCGAAAGTACAGGGATACGCGGAAGAATGATTAACTATTATTTATCCTATTTTTAATCTTAGATTACGACAGTGATTTTTGTATGTCTTTGGCTCTTCGATTCATTCCCATTACTTGTGTGTGCAATGGGAATACTTGCAAATTTAGTTCACTTGATGGTTTTGAAAGATTATCCGGCCATAGCAATGACGTCGTTCCCCTTTATTATGACAGTAGGTTAGAAGATCAGAGATTCTCATCAACTCGAATGAAACAATATAATACCTTATATTGCTCTGCAGTCGTCATAAACGCCATGGAATATTCACTAACTATGATTATGGCAGAAAAAACTATTTGATATCTAGAGTTAATAATTAATTTGTTATCCTAACCTAAAATTATCCCAATTTTTTGATACCACTTCTAGTAATGGCAATAATTAATCACTTTCTCGCATTTCGGTACTTCGCTACTGTTTGGTACCCATTTAGTGAGGCAAGTTTCGCAATCTAGACAATAACTTTGTAATGTAATACTATACTGTACTTGGTTATTATTGGCATTAGCTCAAAATGTAAATTTTTTCGCTGGTATTGTAACGTACGCGTACAATGCTCATTTCGTGCTGTATATTAATTAAATATCTACATTCAATGATTGTATCTATACAGTATCTTACTATGGCATTATTAAGTCATACCGCCACATTACTTGCTGTAGGGCTGTTATTGTTAACGAATCGATCGCTAACATATAAATTTATGCTATAACTCAAGGCCTGCAATATTATCTAGCCTTGTAATGAATTAACGCTATTTTACAATGTAGGTGTTGGCATACTTTACAGTTTGCCTATGGATAATCCCCTTTGGATTTTTTATTTCTATAACTGCTAACGACTTAGTTCTACCCACAACGGATCAATTTGGAGACAGGAAAAGTATGAATTATTTCCATGATATCTTTTTTTTTTCTATGTGCTTAAAACTATTAACTGATCTGACCAACTGCTTTTAAACTGTAGACAAAAGACGGCAAACTAGTGGATTGAAAGCAGTTATTGACTTAGCTAGAGAGTCAATTTTACCTGGCAATTCTAGTAAAAGATTTTAATTTAATAGGGAAACCTGTAGATACGTGTACATCAATGTTAATTCGTTTGCTTTTCTACTGTGCTAAGAGCTAAATTTCAAACAATGATAAATCGTAATAACTATTAGGAAGTATGAAAATTTTCAATAAGACTCTGTTCAATTTCTTTAAAATAGCCCGAAACTTAGTCCTTAATAGAGAATAAACTAGTTTACCTTCGGATCCACTATTCTATTTAAAGATAATACTTAGCTCGAGATGTTACGATACTTGATTATAATACTATGATGAGGTCTTTATCTGAAGTGTATCTCATCAATCTTTCACTGTGTTGTTTAGCGTCAATATCATTCTTAATATAGGTAAATCGTTGGAAATATTAAAGGAGAGTATCTTCCTTTGAGACCTATTACATTTACAGCTCTTTTGCTTACCTTAAAAGACAATTTCTTTCGGCGATACCAATATGATGAGGTGCAAACTATAGTAGATGTTATTAAGGAAGCAATTATTAGAAAAAAGTGTACTTTTTGCAGAAGTCGCATTTAGCTGACGTCATAACAATATTTATTGTCTTTGTATAAATAATACTTATATAAACAATTTTGGAAATACAATTCATTCTATTCATATTTTTGTAGCGATAGGTCTTTACTACTATAAAACGTTATTGGCTGACTAAGATTAACAAAATGAATCTACTATCTACGAGTTATTGTTATGGCTTTAATAATTATAGAATAAATTAACCAACAACTTTGCATTTAGAATCATTTTCATAATCATTAATCAACATAATTACATAAAGTGACTCAATTATCGCATTCGAAATCTGGCTTTGATACTATGAGATATCGAGCACGACAAAAAATGTTAACGTAAATTATGTCTTCCTTAGCCAATTGAAAACTAATATCGATATAATTAATATCAAGAAAAATATTGAATACATAGCTAGCAATCGCTATACACCATGTGTAACTTCGAACATATCTTAACGCATTGCGTATAAAAAATCAGCCTTTCCAAAGATCAAACATAACAACAGTAGAATGAATTTAAAATGCACATCATCATTACGAAATACGCATTATACTGCAGATCCAGCTTGAATGGAATAGCTCCAACTACCGATCGCATGGAACAACCATCAATTAAGACGTTATTCGATGCAATAATAGTGATGTCAGATTTCATAAAATACCGAAACATTATTTTTAAATCGTCAACACTACATAATGAAAAGTATCAAAACGAAAATGAATGTGAAATATTAGTTTTCATCAATCCAATTAAACATTATTGAATGGTGACAGATTTCGTTCTATTGATATATGTACACGTTGCAAAAGGCTTAAGGAAATGAAATTAACAACCAGATTACGTTATTCAGAGAACTATCAAAAGAATTTTGACGTAAAGTTATTACTAGTAACTATAGTAGAAATCCTTAATATAAACGAATATGAGAGCTCGAGCTCAATTAGCGTTCTATAATAGATATATAGTACACGTACTAGTTATAAATATTTATAAACTATATGTTTGTATGCATACAAATAGACTCCACTATGATATAATGATAGCAGAGAAATTATTTTAATACTACAGGCATCTTCAAGTAGTTACAGTATCAACAACCGAAAAAGTAATTATTTCTTGCTATCGTTTTACATTTTTATTTATGTATTAATCATATGGAAAACTGAAATAAGTAAGAGATATTTATAAAATCAAATAAACAAATTGATTCCATTGAGGTAATATTTAATCGTTGTTATTTTTCTAAATATTCTTCTAAAACCGCGCTTGGTTCTAAAGTGTCATTTTTCTTTCTTCTTTCAGTCAATTTCTCCAATCTAAGTAATCGTTCTTTATTTTTCTCATTGATGGCATCGATATTTAGACTGGAAATGGACGCCGGGGTAGATGGTAACTCATCGCGTTGTCGAATTCTTCTTCTTTCACGTGCTGATGAAACTTTAGTAGAATTTTCATCGGTTGAGCCTTTAACGTTGTTACCATTATCATCGACTGGTACAAATTTAGTTTCTGATGTCAATAAGGATAATTGTGATTCTGAATCAGGCTTACGATTTGAAGCCTGATGGTGATGATTAGTAGGATGACTATTAACATCAAGATCTGCGGCTAAATCACCTATAATTATAGTGAATTTATTGTTTATCAGGAGTACAACAACTGCAGTAAACTTTTTACCCTCCCATGTAGTATAAGATTTAGCTTAATGTACTATCATTTTATGCAATACTCGTAAAAGTTACTGACATGTCCTCACCCTCTCGTAACATTTTCAATTGATGCTCTTGCTTATCTAGCAGAGCTTGCTGTTGAACTTCTAACGAAGCACTTGATTCAGCTGGTTCAGGATATTCTTTCCAAAATTCTTGCCTTGATTCACTTCCATTGCCATACTTAAGTGAATTAAACTCCGATGTAGCATTGTTTTGATTTCCTCCTTTATTTTTGGGTAATGCCATTGCAAAAATATCTGCTTTGTTCTTACTCCTTGATAATCGGCGTTCTTTAGCTTTCTTGTTCTGTTCCATATGAGCTTGTAGCTAATCAGAAAGTATCTCCGTCAATTTGGTTTATAACTGTTATTAAAGTGTGGGTCATAATCGAACTTCTATAGAAAGAAATATTATCTAAAGCTTAAATTAACCTTTAACTCCTCATTCCTTAGCAGTCCTTCATAAGCCTTTTTGTTTTGTTCTAATTGTTCTTGAACCTATACGAAATAGAATATAAATCAGATCATAGTTTGATTTTGGATTGAACAGTAAACTTTGGCGTACGAGTATGCTCAGGCTACATGATTAACGTTACCTTAGCTTGCTCAAGTTTCAGTTGTTGCCGCATTAATTCCAGCTGAGCGATAACATCTTTAGTTTCTTCCGCAGTTCTGTTAAAGGGACGCGTATTGGAGTTATTGGGTATAGTGGATGCATTTCCTGAAATGGAATTATTGCGTGATGATTTCGGATGACTCTTATAAATATCATTATCTCGCTGACTAAGTGTAACTTCATTAAATGTCTGCGATCTTGAAAGTTTAAGTGGTTGAATCTCAGAGTGGCTAGGAATTTCGTCGTCTTGGTTATAAATATCGCTATTAGTATTTGTAACTTGTCTATGACTTGGTAAAGGCGGTGAAGTTGGATTGCCTTGCTCATTTCTTAAAGCAGGAATTGGTGGAGATTGATTATATGACTGCCTTAGTGCTGGTATAGGCGGAGAGTTCGATCTCACAGGGCTATTCTGTTGATTGCTAGCTTCCTGTTCATACGGTTTCTTCCTACTTTCCGCTAGCCTCCTTTTTAAGTCATCATCTGCTTTCTGCCGACGATTCTCTTCTGCTTCACGCTGTGCTCGCTCCGAAGCCTCACGCTGCTCTTTAATTTTTTGTGCAGCTTCCTCTTTTTGCCGATTCTCTTCCTCTTCTTTTTTACGCTTTCCTTCCTAAAAGTGGAAAAGAGATCGAGGTACAATTAGAATTTATAATTTCAAGATACAATAGTTTTAACTAATATAAAATGAAACTTTATCTGATGGATTGCGGATAGAATTTAATTCCGCTCTTAAAGTTTTCCGACTATTTTTGATTTAATCAGATGGAAGTTTACCGCAAGGTGATTTACCTACAATATGCGCTAGCTAAGACACACGTTACGTGCAGTAAAATTTATCAGGTTACTTACAAGCTCTTTCTCATGTTCTTCTTGCATAATTTTCCTCTGATCTTCGATGCGTTGCATTTCTTTCAGCTCTTCCTGTCTTATTTTTTCTTGTTCTTCCCGCTTTCTACGCTCTTTTTCTTCAATTTGCTGTTTAAGATATGCTCTGTAATCAGTCTCACTTTTGCGTGGACTTTCTTGAGTCATAAAACCTTCTGATGTAAGTTTAGTTACAACCTCAGTAGTTTCACGATTAGGTTGATTATAACTATAATTGGGCTCATTTAATGAATTAGGCTCACGCCGGGGAGAAGCTGCATTAGAGTATTGATTATTGTTGTTACTAGAAAGTGAATGATTGGGTTGACTACGATTTTCATTGGTATTAGGGTTAAGAAGTTTAGTCTCATTATCTACATGCATTCTTTTTAGATCAGCAACAATGCGACCATGGCGATCGCGCAGGGGTGCACCACCTCCGCCTTTACCCCACGGATTATAATCATATATTTCTTGTTCTTTTTTCAGTTCTTCTGCCTCTCTTCTTTTTTTTTCTTGTTTCTTTCTATTTTCCATTTCTAGCATCTGTTGTTTTAAATCCTGTTGGTAGCTACTTTTATCATAGCGTGGCTTGTCTTCTGATCCAGAAAAGCCTAGCAAGATGTTGGAACTTTGATTTTGACTGGAAGTACGATAGTGCGCATTTGGAGGATCGTGATTGCCAATTCGGCGATGACTGTGATCTAAAACGCTGTTGCCTTTAGCTTGAACGTAGTTATTGCGCGAAACTGCACCAGGGTAGTCAGCATTTCTAACTGGTACTGCGTTATTGTTGCTATAAGAAGCACGAGGAACTTCATCAGGTGGATAATCTGATCGGAGTCTCTGTTGGAGGTTCATACATGAGGATAGCGAAACGAATGTTTGGAAATATTTAACACCGAAATGATTGCAAATTTTATTAAAATACATTCAACAATTTAAAAAGTCAAAATTACCTCAAATCTATTAATAATCTATCGATAGTACCATCAATAATTAAAATGAATACTTACCGGATCTGTTAGTTGAGTTACTGCATCTAGTAGTGGACTATTATTGGACAATGGTACGTTTCCTTGGCCATTACCAAGATTAATATCATATGGCAACCTTCCTATATCGTCTGGTGCATCATGATTGTTAGCCTTTTGGCGTGCCCATGCATATAAATCTTCATCGCCTAATTGCCATTCAACTGGTCGACTTGATATAAAATAATTATAATATAGCCATATTCACATAAACCATGATGGAATGAGTAGGAATAAAAGTTTTGATGTTAATTTCAGTACGTACAAAGGCCATTTAACCTCTCATAATAAGTAAACTGGAGTAATTTAACTGAAGTCCACACTAGTTAGCATTTCAAATTGTATAATTACAACAATATATGGTTTTATTACATTGAGATTGCGAAATATCAACATTACTTAATTCCATCTGTTATAAATTTGAAGCAACTGTTATGATTACTGCTTTTATAAATGTTAGAATACTAATGAATGATAACATAATAATTGATATTTGTATGCATATCACAATATTCAATTACGTTAGAAGTGAACTGTATATATTGACTAAAATTTTTGACTCAAAAAGTTCTTTGAATGTGCATTACGACGTACAACGAATGTATGTACAGTAGAGATTTACTAGAGAATCCATAAATGAATTATAGATTATGCAAGACATAGAAGTAATAAAATTTTCTGTCTGTATTTTAAATAAATTAGTAAACTACACAAATAGGGTTTATAAATTTTGTTCAAGCCGTAGGAAAAAAAAACAGTTCAAATAATTTAAATGACGTAGTATTTTAACAGCAACAGATAGCAGATAACGATTATTCTATATTCGAGAGCAATGACACAACTAGGTTCAGCAAAATTAATCACTTTACTACTACATTCTGCAATTCTACAGTATGTCATAGTGACAGTAGGCAATATCTTAGCACTATAACAGCGCACCAAAATTGAAATTAACTACGGTACACTGTAGTGATAATTCACTAAGGTACGAAATCTACGCTGATGTTTTAGGAGACATCACTATAGATTTCGTACCTCAGCGATTATACTAGGAGATAAGTACTGTCATTTTATACACATCTTTAATAACTTTCAAGATGACGAAAGAACTACGGTATGATCAGTAATGTGCAACAATATGCCGCTAAAAGGCAGTTTTTTAAATTTGTTATAAATTTGTTGAAATCTGTTATACGAAAAGAATTCGATGATTATGCATTAAAAAAGAAGATCAAAATGGAATTTCTTTTAGTCTGTCATCTTAACACAAGTTAAAACTTTGATGGTGCTTTAGCAGTTAACTACTGGTACTGCCCATATGAGTTTAAAATATACTTATTACTATCGTATTTTATACTTGTTAATGTCACAGTTTTATTACTACGGTAAGAACGCATTTTATCAAGTTGCAAGCTTTCATTCCTTATCATTCATCAATATCGAATTAAGAACGTAGATCAAAATATGTATTTTTATCTATTATGGATTATAATGGTATATACTTACAACTAAGGTCAAGCTAAACATTAATAGTTCAATTTTCTTAGTGAATGTAATTTCTATGATAAAGTATAACAGGGATCTTTCAATCAACTTACTTTTCTGGTATAGGTAGATTATAGCGGGGATCTCTTGAATGTTGTAGGTCAAACTTCGGCTTGGATGGTACAAAATCAGCTGGTGCAGTTTCGATATGATTTAGCTGACTATAATTTGTGGTATAGTGAATAAAACCGATGAATTGAAACAGTGAAATCATTACAGTTACAAGATTATAAACAGATAGAAAGAGAAGCCATTGTCAGTAACTGTTCATAATATCCAATTGCATGGATTTTTTACCGATAACGTTCCTCTTGCTCCCTTTTTTGTTGCAGTAGTTGATCGTAACCAACTGGTTTTGAATGATAGTTCTGAGGCTGCATAGCGTCATTCAAATTGTTGCGCCTACGAGATTTACCCTCGGTTTCTCTGCGTAACTTTTCTTGTAAAAATTCGTTATACTCTCGTTGTCGCTCTTTCTTTAACCTTTCTTTAGCACTATTCTGTTCCCTTATGGGCAAACTTAATCCTTGATAGTTGTTCTCGTTAATATTACGGTTGTAACGACCGTACTTTTTGTTATCGGCAAATTCTTTAAATTCATCTTCTCTCCTTTTTTTAAAATTTTGTTTCATAGTCAGGCCATCATCGCCCAACTTATCCCATAAAGAATGAGTCCGATGTAGGTTGTGAATATCTTCACTATTATGATTAATCTGATTATTATGTGAATCTCTTAAGGTAAATGCTCCATCACTTTGGGTAGGACGAAGATCACTCCTTTCATTTGAAAGATTTGATGTTGTTCCTGCTTGGTTGAAACTTCTGACAGGATTACTGGATTCTGGGTCAATTTGTTGTCGCTCATGATGTAATTTAGCTTTCTGTAATTGAATAAAACGTGTCATCTCATCCTGGGTGGCCATTGGAAGCTACCATTCCTCAATTGATATCAATCTCCAATAGGTAAGCAGTATAATAGAGAGCCAACAACCTTTCTATTGAGTGTTAGATTACTGGTGGTGACAGTTGGATTGCAAAATTTCAATTATACCTGAAGCCGAGAATCAATTTTAATGGAAAAGTGAAAAGAATTCAAAGTAATCATGAATAAAAGAGTAACAGTCCTAGCGTCCTACAAGTACTTTAAGTATGGATAGTTTGGACAGCTACTTATACGTGCATATACCTGACATTTTAGCGTGATATAACTATGCCTTGATTATCCTTGTTGTCATTGACTCTAATACTACATTACTGTATAGCAATAAGTGATGATGCATGCTTGAGATTGTACATTGAGTAAGATGCCGCTATAAAGTTCAACTGTGCTGTCCGTAGTATTGCTTACCTGTGGACTGTCGAGTTACCAATGTTACCAATGCAAAAGATCGAGCTTTAATCATTGGCAATATGACTAATCTTAGTGGAATGACTATTTAGCCATGAATCATATGACTTTAAAACCTTGATACGACAAACGATTGGTGTATGTATCGAGTATGAATTGTCTGAAGTAGACTGGAAGGGATGGAGTCAAGCCTACTTCAATTTTAGAATGATTCAATTTTAGTGGACATTATGATACGGAAGCATGACTGTTGAAAGTGAGATCAGTACCTGTTGTATCAGCTGGTATCCAAGGCTTTGGTGGTAGAGTATGCTAGATGGCATCTTTTGAAGAATAGAGTAGCAGAATCAAGTATGGAATACCTTCCTGGATCAATGTAGGATTTATTTTGTCAATGGGTACGCGTCTACAGACTACAGTACTATGTGGACGTTTGTGTCCACTGTCCAGGGTCTTGTTGATGATAGTAGCGTCGAGTAAAGTGCTGTCAACAAACTTGAAGGCATGGAAAACATGCTAATATCATCTCTACTAGGCCTCCGAATGAGTGATTGATGCAGCTGCAGACATTGAAGGCTAGACTGAGAATTGGCATGAATGTTTTTCCCCCCCGTTGAAATTTCTTCTATTTGCCGATAGTCATGGAAACGGCTTGCGTAGGCGACGATGGAGTAGCGTACAATCCCATTCAGGTACAGTACAGTGTATAGTGTATAGTACAGTACAGTATACTGTAATGGGCCACTTTCAATACTGTACCGTACTGTACAGTGTACAGTACGGTGGCCTACTGTTAGTACTGTACACTGTGTACTGTAATACTGTAGGTCAATACTGTACTGTACACTGTGTACTGTAATACTGTACAGTACAGTAGGTCAATACTGTACTGTACACTGTACAGTACAATGAGTACTGTACATTAGTACTGTGGACGTTCGCCAGTTTTAATGAACGAACGTACAGTACGAACGTCCAATTTGAACGTCGGACGTTCATTGAACGTACCAACGTACACAGTGTACAGTGTTAACACTACAGTATATAGTGTACACTGTACAGTACAGTACGGTATAAGACTATACTATACTGTACAGTACACTGTACATACAGTACAGTAGTACAGTACTGTACGTAACAGCGTACAGTATACTGTAGTCATGACTCTGAAATACAAAGTGTTGTAAAAGACGTTTGTACTACTGTACTGTATACAGTACTGTACTGTACTGTATAGTATTGGGGTGGGATTATACAAACTGACTGTATACACTGTACTGTACACTGTACACTGTACATTGTACAATCCTGCACAGGGTACAGTACTGTAGGAGTACAGTACAGTACTGTACTGTAGTGGACGAAAATAATAATATTATTAATTAATACAGTTAATACAGTATTGTGTACTGTACTGTACTGTAATACTGTACAGTAGGCCACGGTCAATACTGTACTCTACTGTACTGTACAGTACAATCCGGTACAGTGTACAGTACTGTACTGTACTGTACAGTACATACACTGTAGTGGACCATAATAATATTGCCGTACTGTACTGTACAGTACTGTACAGTGTACAGTACACGACAGACCCTCTAAAATAATAATAGAGGGCCTCTATGATTGTACAGTAAGTAAAAGCGCCACATTTCCCGCCAAAAAGAGACCCGCGTTCTCATCGCAATCAATCAATCAACCAACGCAGTCCTGTACACTGTACAGCGTATAATGGACATGCACAGTCCTGACCACAGATTTCCCAATTCTCTGTGTAAAAGTCCCTATCCTGACCATGAGTCCAGGACTGCTTTGGCTGACAGTGATGTGGATGACTGCTACTGCTGCTACACCATAGTTTGACTTGATCAACATTTCAAACGCTGAACTATCAACAGTAAAAGAATGTTCTTGAAAATGAATGACGCTCATTGGGTCATACTGTCCAGTGCGTCTAGCCTAGTAGAGTTGACCACATCACTGAACATCATTTCACTGACGGTGACTGTACTGTACAGTACGTACGTTGTCGATGTCACTCTCGCTGCACATCATGCGTACGTGTACGTGTACACTATGGTCGTGGCGACATTCTACAGTCAGTGTACAGTATACAGTACTGTAGTGGACAGTCAATCAACAATAGGATTGGATACAGCCACTGCACTGACTACAGTGTACAGTCGTACTGTACACTGTAGTGGTATTTCACCCAGCACCTCCATTGTCAGAGGCAGTTTGTGCAATGGACATTTTTCTACGTGCTTAGACTGGCGCAAGTTCTTGCGAGAAAAAATTCAATTCGACCATGTATATTAAACAGGTGAGCTCCATGTCATTTGCAAATCTGTCTTGACTTTGTCATTATATCAAACTGGCGACCACCGGATAGTTCATCGAGTTTATATTCTTACCAGTCTCATACTTGCCATCTTACTTTATCCATACGTTTGTAAGCTAAACATGGCATAGGTGTATTTCAAATCACTCAATGCTCTTTGAAATGGGCAAATTGACTGCATCGTTGGTGTACAATCACTTTTAAAATGGTTGCATGTTGATCAAGTCAAATAATTGCAACATCATCATGACTTTTTCCATCTATTGCAGTACAATATCCTATTGCTGTGTCTATTTGAAGAATCATTTTTGACACCAATTGGACACTGGACTACTGCATCCATACACCAATTGCTTTACTCGGTCTCACGTCTGTTGGTGGGTTGACACCACAGACTTGCTAGGCCTTCCTCCATCATTCTCCTTTAGTCTTATTCGTTCGTGAACCACTCAATACTGGATATCATTCAATTAAAGTCAAATTACTTTACGATCAAGGCCTTCATAAACAATCCATAACGATCACACTCGATAGTACGAGTATCGGATGGATCGTCAGCAAAATTGCAAACCCTAGTGGTCAACGGATATCCTTGACTCCTACACAAATGTTGAATGATAGCTGCCAATTTATCCAAATTGATCTATTCATCATCTGTATTCTAGGTTATTATTCAAGGATTTCGTAGCTATCGTGATCAGACTATTATTGAACCATTTAGCTCAAAGAACAATGTGATAGGTATTGTCAATTCTTTGAAAAATGTTTGAACAACTTCTTTTTGAATGATCGTCATAGAATGGGCTAAATGTCATCTACACAATGTTTCTCTACTTGAATTCTTACTGTAATACTGATTTCCAATTTTTGACTTTAGTTGGTAGAAACGGCTCTGGAAAGAGTAACTTTTTCTTCGGTAAAGAACATTATAAAACATTTTCTATACTTTCCTTAAGCTTCATACAAGATTCATATGCTAATATTATTGCAATCCATTCTTACTTTACAGCTATTCAATTTGTTTTAAGCGATGAATTTAGTCACTTAAGACCGGAACAAAGACAACAGTTACTACATGTAAGTGTTGTAATCTTTGATATATGGAATGGAACAATCCTTGTTTTTCAGTACAATCGCCTAATATCAAATCCAATCGTAATCGAATGTTTTGAACCTATGAAAATACAATAATAATATTGTCATTACTTTATTTGCTGCATAGGAGGGCACAGGTCCTCGGGTTGTATCGGCTTTCGTTGAAATTGTCTTTGACAATTCCGATGGTAGAATTCCGGTAAATTGATCTTTCCAAGCTCATGAATTCAATACTGAATCACATAAAATAGTTTGAAATGATTGAACATTACATAAGGGTAAATATTGACGCTGTAAGTGTATCATTATCACTACAGATTGAAAACGATGAAGTCAGAATTCGACGCGTTATTGGAGCTAAAAAAGATCAATATTATCTAGAAAAAAAGAATGTTACGTAAGTTTTGTTCCTACTTTATGCAATCACAAATAATAATAGGAAGCTACGTTAAACCAACTGTACAGTATAATCGCAGTTCATAACATAGCTACAAATGAAGCTAATTTTAGATATTGGAGCTTACTATATTGTAATATGGATATATCAACATAACTATCGATGATGCTGCAGCCTAAACTAGACTAATGGATTGCTATGCACTGTTCTTTTTCGATATTGCTTCGCTAAAATGATTTAGTAAAACTGACGTGATGAATTTGCTGGAAAGTGCTGGTTTTTCGCGCAGTAATCCATACTACATAGTCAAACAGGGAAAGGTTCGCATTCCATTTTAATGCTAAACTATTGTGATGATGTACTGATATCAATGGTAAGTTATCCAAAACTTCTTATTGTAGATAAACGAACTTGCAATCGCCCCAGACTCACAACGTTTGAAACTTCTTCGTGAAGTTGCTGGAACTCGTGTATACGACGAGCGCAGAGAAGAAAGCAAAATCATCCTTCAAGAAACTGGTAATCCTTAAATGACATTCAACAAGCAACTGTATTAACAAATCAAATTTGATAACTTCTTTTCCTTCCTGACATATCCATCACACTGTTGAAGAGGGTAAAAGAGAGAAAATTAATGAACTTTTACAAGATATTGAACAGAGATTACATACCTTAGAAGAAGAAACCAAGGAACTGAAAGAATTCCAAGTAAATAGCACCTCGGCGATGTTACTAGTTATTCTTTATGATTCATTGTACTTATTTGAACTTTTAATGTTGATCTTTTCACTAGGAACTTGATCGCACTAAGCGGTCGTTGGAATATACAATCTATGATAAAGGCCTACGAGAAGCTCAGAGTAAGATAAAACATCTGGAAGTAAAACATCAAGAGTTTGCAGACACTGCAAATACTCAAAAAGCTAGCATGGCAAAACTAGCAAATAAGATTGAGGTAGGTAGGCTCCATATGAGACCCTTAGTAGAATTTTAATATTCGATTTTCTGTTGTATAAATAACGAAATGATTGATAGCAGAGCGTATGCAAAAATATCAAATTTCGACGATATTCAATCATGCAATATTGGACCCATTAGGAATATGAAGCGGAAGTACAATCCACTACGCAAAAAAAGGAAATTTTAGTAAATGAACAGCAAGACTTATATGAAGAGAGACAAGAATTAATCAAGAAAAGAACAAATCTGGAACTCGATGTAAGCGATTTGACGGACAGTGTTCAAAATGACCGTTCTGTTCAAGAGAGCAGCAAGAGCGAATTGCAACAGCTGCAGTTAACAATCACAAATACTGAGACAGAATTAAACAAGTTGGTACCAACTTATGAAAGTCACAGGGAAAATGAACAGAAACTTACATCCAGGTATTACTGTTGATTTTTAAAAGAGTATATTTAAAATCTTTCTGGTTGTCAGACGCCCTAAAATAACATGAATACATCGAACTATGTGCATAGGCTAAGGATGTGTGAACAGCTTCTGTCACAGATATACGCGAAGCAAGGTAGAGGTACTGCGTATAAATCGAAAGAAGAAAGAGATGCATGGATTAGCAGGGTTAGAGTTTGTACTGTATTATTGAGCTATATTAATATAATTTTACTAATAATATAGCTATTTACGTTCTCTATCGCTCCTTCAGGAAATGAAGCAACTGCAAAAATCTCTTACTGACAAGAAGTCCGAGGTAAATTCGCTTAGCCTTAGAATTGAATCACTAATTTAGAATCAATAAAAATGCGAAATAATTTTCAAAATGTTAATCTTGAACTCCTATAATCCGTTGTTACAGATGGCTGCAGCTTTAGATATTGTGCAGAAGGCACAAAATTCTTTAGCTGGTATTGAAGCTGAAGTGGAGGTAAATATATTTGTATATAACATGATGTAAACTGAACACTGTAATAGTCATGAAACTTACGCAGTGTTTGTGGGACAATTAAATGCCTAAAGGAAAGGAATAAAAACATCGAGTCCAGAAAGGTAGCGATTGATGAATCTAGAAAATTCATAGCGTCTCTTCGCCAGAAATTAGATGAAGCTTTAGATAGAAGAAAGTATGGCTAAATTTTTTAATGTCTTATTCTGTTTACGTGTACCACTTTTTTAGGGTTGTATCAATGTACGGTAATATCAATTTTAATCTTACTTAGGGAGCTTTGGCGTGAAGAGCAGTCCGTAGATCAAGCTTTGCAGAGCGTTGAAGAAAGCTTAAAAAGTACCGAGCGAAGCTTAATGATTAAAGCACCCAAAGGAATCAGTCGTGGATTAGAATCATTAAAGCGAGTCGTTTCAGAGAAAAAGATTAAAGGAGTCTATGGGCCGCTGATAGAAAATTTTCGCAGTCGAGAACGCTTTTTTACTGCGATAGAAGTGACAGCTGGAAATAGGTCTACTTTAAGTTAAAGTATGCTGGTTTAATGTGCTAAGATTGCTGATATAATTTATACTTTATTTATGGCAGGCTTTTCCATGTCATTGTTGACACAGATCGCACGGCTGCACAAATTTTAAATCATTTTAATCATATGAAACTACCAGGAGAAATTTCGTTCATGCCTTTAAATAAGCTTATTTCCAAAGACATCCAATACCCTGATTCTACGGTTCATTAAGCGATATTCTGTACCTCGTCAGAGTGCACTTCATTAGTATTAATACCTAGGAATTGTTGTTAATTTTATAGGATGCGGTTCCGATTATACATAGGTTGGAATGTGAAGATAAATTTAAACCTGCGCTAAAGCAAGTTTTCGATAAAACCCTTTTATGTCGTAATATCGAATACGCTTCAAAAATTGCCAAGGAGAATGACTTGGATTGCGTAACGTTAGAAGGTATAGTTAACATTTATTTTCGCAATTGTATTCCCGTATCCATCCGCTGACTTGTATATACTTTGCATATGTTGTGAGTAACCACTTTTTTAAAGCATTTGTGTACATTATAATCCTTTACTACTGATAGGGGATCAAATTAGTCGAAGAGGTGCTCTGACTGGTGGATATCACGACGAACGAATCTCTAGATTAACTCTACAACACAAGATTTGGCAGCTACAAGACGATCTTGACAAGTATATGAAAAAATCATCTGTCCTTAAGAAAGAAATTCAAGATATCCTTAATAGTTGCTTTATTCACTGTCTATAACATCTAACATTAATAATCCTAAATATCGTCATGGTACAAATTATTTTTCTTGACATAATTTACATACTGATGGAAATATAAATCAGTACACCGCAGAAATGCAACGCTTGGAAACCAAATTGGAGCAGTTGAGGTATTTACGTGAAGTAAAACATTGATCGGTATCTCATATAGCCATATATTTCACCGTACTTACTATCATCCTTGTATGTGTTGTAATACACCCCAGGCAAACATACGAACGTCAACGGCTAGATATTCGTGCAAATCAAACGAAACGCGAATCGTATTATCAGGATATCAAGTCCAAGGTCAGTTTATTGAAGCCAATCATGATTAATTATTGCTCGACTATGACAACTGGAACGTAAGGTTTATCATATCATTCTAAATGGGATGATCATTTATTTGTCATTGATATATTAATTAAATATGAATGCTAAATTTCTGTGCAGAAGGATAAAGTTAAGGTATTGGAAACGGATATCCAGGAAATTAGTACGAACCTGCGATCTTTACAATCAGAAATTGGTACTGATCTTGCTTCTCAGTTATCCGATAATGATCGACAGGAGGTAGGCTATTCTCGTTTAGACTTAGGGTCTGAAAGAATTAATAAATTTAAGTATGTCATTGAGAAACGTTTTCCCTTTGTAGGCTGAAAAATTAAATAACGAAGTACAAGAGTTGAAACGCCGACTGATTGATGCTGTTAGAAACCGTACTTCGGTAATATTAATGACATCATTTTTTGCATAAACTCGAAAAAATCCCTAAAATGTAAAAAATTTTTCATTAGCTTGAAAGCAAGAAAAATGAATTAGATTATTTGCTCCACAGTAATTTAATAAGAAGACAACGTGAACTTCAGCAGGTAAACCCAAATTTTGTCATATTAGTTAATGCATCCGATATAACAGACTGTAATTTTTTCCATCTAAGCAAATGGAAGAGATTACGATTGAAGACCATGAAATGCAGCTGGACCATGTTGAAAAGGAGCTGTCCCGTGTGAAACAAAATATTGCGAAAGCTTCGAAAAGGCTAGAAGGTATGAAATTTTTCATCGAGTGACAACCTAATCCTAGGCGATATACTATTCGAAAAAATTTTAACGTTATCTTTATAATTAAATTTTCAAATTACTTTAGAGCTGTCATCTCTAATCGAAACTAATACGAAGCATTTGGAGGATACTGCAAATGAGCTGGACGATCTTAAGGTAATAGGCTAGTATCCATGTACCCATGTGTTTCGAAGTTGTGTGTTGATTAATTATAATTATTGGTAAATCTTCACTTAGAAATCTGATAGGATAGAAAAAGAAAGATTTGAGGGAATATCTAAGAAAGCTGAAAAGTGGACAAACAAGAGTATCAGCCTACAAAGAGATGTACATAAATTATCATTACCACATCTAGGGCTATATATTCGATATCATGCTAACCTTCACTTGTACAATATAATCCTATTTAGGTTGAAGAATATTCACAAAAAATTAGCGCATTAGGAGTCTTGCCTGCTGATGCTTTTGATAAATATCAAGAAGTTCCAATGAAGATTGTATGTTGTAAGCTAGCTATTAATTCTTCCTAAAGAGTACTGCATTAAAAAGTGTTATTTATCCTATTTAGTTATGGAAGAAATTAAGTGAATGCAATGATGGCTTGAAGAAATACGAACACGTTAATAAAAAAGCTTTGGACCAATATGTAAACTTTTCTCAGGAAAAAGAGAAGTTGATGAAGCGCAAAGATGAATTAGACAAAGGTCATGAGGTAGGATTGATTCGATCTTGTAACATTTTGATTATGAGCTTTTAATATTCTCAATCTCGAACGGTCACAGGCTATTATTGAACTTATGGAAGTACTTGAACTGCGTAAGCACGAAACTATACAATTCACATTTAAGCAGGTTAATGAGAATGACCGGGAGCAATTTCAGCTTTTATGACTCTAGATTTTGATTACTGAGTATACCATCTTTATGATGAATTATAGGTTTCACATTATTTCTCTGAAGTTTTCAAGGAACTTGTACCAAATGGTAAAGCAAACCTTCTTATTCGACGAAATATCGGCACTGACTCGGAAGTACGACATCAATATTATTGTATCATTCTTATTCACCTTTATTTTGTTGAAGTGTTATTAACTAAGTTTACTTTAATTTTTATAAGTCTCAATCTCAGTCTCAAACTAGCTCTGGAAGTCAATCTATAGAGCATTTCACCGGAGTCGGAATAGAGGTATTTAGAATATAAATGCTTGTCCTAAGATACAAAAATTTTATTATAAGATGAAACGCATGACAAGAATGTGAAATTTATATTACATTTAGGTCAGTTTCACAGGACTTGCTGCCGAAACTTGTGAAATGCAACAGTTATCAGGTGGCCAAAAATCATTAGTCGCACTCGCTATGATCTTCGCTATCCAAAAATGTGATCCAGCTCCGTTTTATTTGTTCGATGAGATTGACCAAGCTCTAGACTCACAGCATCGGACTGCAGTAGCAAGTATGACAATGATAACAATAACATTTCTCTTTCTTTGTTATAGTAGCGTTTATCTCATCTGTCTGGTTTGGATGTTACTAATACTGAAATTTACACATTCCTAGATATGCTCAGAAAGCTAGCCGAAAAAGCTCAATTTATTACAACGACTTTTAGGCCAGAATTAGTGCAATCGGCTGATAAATTCTATGGAGTTCGATTCCGTAATAAAGTTAGTCATATCGATGCGATTTCAAAGGAAGAAGCGCTGCAATTCATTGTTGGCGACGACGACTAAGATTTAATTATTTTAGATCCAACTTGTAAAGTAACTTTTTCAAATTAAAAAATGTATAAAATTAGCATTTCAGGTTGTGTAGCTGTAGGGAATTAGTATTGGTACTGTACACAGCAGGTAACCTTTCGTAACTCTTTAAGCAATACTCGTTCTTAAATTTGTATGTTGATCTGCAAATAACGTTTAGAAATTTTGTGTATGATAACGCATTTAAACATGTGAATTTGTTTAGACCTACCTTCCACGTTAACTACTGGTTTTCGCAAAACATTTCTGTTGTAACTTGATTTTCTCCATGACGTGACCTCTAACAGTATTCTATGATCCTTCGTAATCAAAGTATGGTGTTTATGAAAAATAAACACTTAGAACTGGTAATGTTGTTCACTATGTGTGAATGTATTATTTTTGCACTAAACTTGGTATATTTTAAATTACAAAAGCCATTTGCGCACTTCCTATAGCTTCGAGGCAACCAATGTATGGTTGGCATTCAAAGTACCGTACATCTAGTAGGCCGTGTATAGGCACAGCTATATGTTAACTTTTTATGGTAAAACTTGAGATACACATACACATTGTTGTGAGCACAGTAACCGGCGTGGAAAATACCTAGTTGATACTGTAGCCAGCAAAACACCGGGCACGAATTCAGTTCGTCTTCCATAAGTACGTAAATCATCCACATTAAGCTGGTCTGGGTAATAGAAAATAAATTTTTACAGTCTGCTTCGAGAAGTACGCGTATGGTGGTTGCAGAATTACGTATTATGCAATATTCATAATTGTTGTACGAGCACAATAAACGGCACGAAATAACTAGTTCATATTGTAGCTAACAAGTAGCAAGAAGTTGAGTGCGAATTCAGTTGGTCTCTAATAGGTACAGTATGCAAAATTATCCAGATTAGGATAATTTAGGTAAGAAAACTTAAATTTTACGGTGTGCTTAGAACAATATAGTGGTGCATAATTACGTATTCTGCTATGTTCATAATAGTGCATTCAAGGCAAATTAAGGTATTGGTCTCATCCATAAAATGTTGGATGTCAAGGCGATGATCTGTAGATGCTATGAAGCATCCCATGAGTAGATTACGAAATTCTAAAAAATAGTTTTTGACACCTTCATAACTATCTTACACGATAACGTTTGAAATGTCAATTTTATTATTCTTCTATTTTCAGAGGTAAGTATATAATCTCCGATTTTATCGACCACAAAATCGTTCGAACTTTGATTACGAAAAGATTACCATAATAGGACATTAGCAATACTTGGAAGAACAAACATCTCGTAAAAGAAGCTGTTATCAGATAACTTGCTATCTTCACAAAAGGCTTAAAATTCTACTTCAGCATTCAGTATGATTTATACCAGATTGAAAGTTAAAGGTGCAACACGTTACCACCCAACGAATACCTAAAGATTAAACATTTACATAAAGATATTAGTTACATATATGGTTGCATACATCAAGAATTTAATAGTCATGTTTACTCGCAATGAGATTCAAATGTTATTTCTTCAACACTTGGACAATTAAACGAGTATCTGATTTTCGATGTATGATCCATTCTAAACAACTATCTGTACTTGATACGCTGCTCCGCCAAATGAATCACCAATGGAACCGTAGTCCCATTGGGTAACATTTATATAGGTACATCAAATGAGCATAATTTTCATAGTCATTCGAAAATTACGCCTCGCAAGTACCAAAAAGCAAATAAACGCAAGTCAACGCACTTTACTAATGTGAAAAACATGACTGACAATTAGTAATGCTCAGTGCCAAGTAACAGCAGTAAATAAGCCTTTTAGTTTAGCAGTCAAAGATTCATCACACAACAGTATACAGTATAAACGTATAAACAATTCAACATTTAGCATACCTTCTATAGGTATGAGAGTAGTCCTAATGCTACCTATGGAGAGGTCGGTTATGTTTTTCTGTTGATAAATATCATAATCATCTTTTCGTTCACTGATTGATAATCAGAAAAGGTGAAGGAATCGTGCAGTAATTGCCTTAAATGTTGCCAACATTAAGGTACCGAAATGGAATACGAGTAATGTACACCTACGTATTAGATAGTCATTTCATGAGCATGTACTGAAGTAATATTGAATCTCAATAGCAGTCAATTGAAAGATGAATTTTACCATGATTTTAATCACGCTTTTGCCATCATGGGATTTGGTTCAATGACCAAAAATTGGAGGGCTTCCTGCATCATATCATCAACTGCTCACGCTATATGAGCAGTAGCTATAGCGTAATCATCATCTTCTCCACGATCTGTCACGCCTCCAATTGGCTGTCCACGTTTTGATTTGTTCCCTAATTCTATGATAATAATTAATTAGTTGATTAGCATGGCTAATATGAGTGTAGCTTGTATTAGAATTCAAATACGTACATATAAATTTATGGACAGGTAGAGCGTTACTAATTATATGATTAATTAATTAATAATAACATTCATGACTACAGTAAGTCATTTTCAACTAGAGTACTGTCATTAGAGGAAGCCGCTGTCTCAGTGATGATACTTTGCGTATATGCGTAAACGTATACGTACTGTTTGGACTCCTCTCAATTGACCATTTATGATTATTATCATACAAGAACTTACAAAGTTGAACAGCTAGTATTCCTAATTAATCTATATATACACATATAACGCAAGATAGAAGATATGAAGATTCCACATTGTTTTCTTCTTCTCAATTTTGATTGTACAGTACAGTAAAAATAGCATCTTCATCTCTTCTATGTCTTCAATTAAGAATATCTGCCGTTCGACATTTAGGTCATAATTATAATTGGGAATAAGTGATTGATTTTCGATTCAATTCGCATATATGACCTGATTAATACAATAGCATTGATTGCAAAGTTCATTAATCTACCTTACCGTTAGAAATTGCATGGAGTTACATTATCACAGTAGCCAGAAAAGTGCGATTCAGGCTACTTTGCATGGCTGTCAAGATCTGTCGCTGAAGACTGTTTCTATCCTGAAGTTTCAACACCTTGATGAAGGTGTTGAGGAAACGAATCGTTTTGTCGAACTGTATTTTACGTACAGTAATTCAACAAATTCAATGATGAGAATTAGTCCATGTAGTCCATCGCTAGAGTCGACGTGGCCATTTAAGAAGCAAAAAAGAATGTGCAAACCTCTAGGTGCTAACTTTGTCGTCATAGAGATACAGTACAGAATTCATGTACTATGCACTGTTCAGTACAGTACTGCACATAGTAGTCTCTTTCTGTTTACTGTCCACTGAGAGTGGAGTACATTAAATAGCTAGAGACGCCACATGTCCACTATACAAGTACAAGTATACAGTACATTAACCAGTAAAAAGGCTTATTTTTCCACTTTTCTCCAGTAAATTCTAATGAATTATCATTTTTTACCTACTCTACTACTGTGTACCTAAGACCAAACCAACTTAGCAGCTAATTTGGACGTCAATTCCATATAATATACCGATTTATCCAGTAGTCTGCAGCAATGGCACTATCGAAAAATTTGGACAGTGTCATTCGGGAGTCCGTCCGACTACAGTGCAAAGATTAATCTCTATAGTACTGTACTGTACAGCGTACAATGTACTGTACAGTACATTATCTAGCCTCGTGAGACGCATCACGTCTGCGCAGAGGAAAGTGAGCATTGATTGGATAACCTTGGAAATTTGAATTTTTAACCGAGGGCGTGTATCAACGATGCGACAGGAGAAGACGATACTGGTCATATTGTTGTTTGCCGTTTCATCGGCATACAATACTCTAGTTTTAGGAGCCATGTTCCAGCACTAAAGGACGACGTGTCTGCAATATTTGAACGGATGCTAGCCATTAATTTACAACAAGTAGTAAACAACTTTTGTTTCTCCTACTGATACAATTGAAAATTCTATGCAAATTAAACTTCAACAGTTACAAGATCAAGTGTTTGTTTGAATTTTAAATACATGATGCATAGTATTGCCTAAGCCTATCGCCTTCGATCGTAGTTATCATCATTGCTAGCGAAACCAAGCTCGATTAACCATCACCACTTCAGATTACTCTCTGCAATCGAAATTTAAAACAACTTATGATCGCTTGCTGCTAAATTGGCATCCCTATCGACTGTTCAACTATTTAGGCCATCATCTTATTTTAGAGGAAAAAAACATCGAAATTACTAGCTGTAATTCATGACGCTAATCGATTGAATACATTACATGGTCATCATCTTGATTGCACGTTGTGTTCAACACCTTGATCAAACTGGGCATAGCTGGAGAGCATCGAGATTGCAGACGATAGTACGATTACACATCCAACTTGAAAGAATTGATCGTTATTCCAATTAGAATTATTGGCGATATTTACACGCATTGATATATCTTGTACAGACGGTCTTGTTGCTCCTGTATTACAAGAATACTGGTGAATACAATTGCTTCATGTCATCGTAGTGATTAATGATCATCAATCACCATCGACAATATCGATCAAAACTTACTTCAACATACCTTTCCTGCTATCCTTCATTAAATTAAATTTATTTTCACAAGCTTTAAAGAAATATTCCATTTCTCCTTCTTTCAGACATTGATCTTGATTAAATATCTACGCGTACTTTGAACTTTTTCAATAGCGATGGAGAGTAGCCCATGCAGAGTAACTGATATAAATCGTGACGCATTGTATACCATTTGCTGTAGTGGATTAACACGATTATTAGACATTGAAGATTTGGATGAATTTCTACAATGTGAAAGTGATCAAGGCAATCAAACACGTAACTTGAGTAAAAATTTAACCGCCATTTTAAAAAAGAAATCTTTTCAATTTTTTAATCTATCCCACGCTCATCATAGCGAAAAATCAAACAAGAAAGGTTAGTATTTTATCTTTCTTGCCATAAATATTGCATAGATGTGCTTGATGTTTTATTCAAATTTTATGCAACTACAACTACCGTATTTCGTGACTTAATAGACTGTTTGGCAAGCAATCTTTTCTTCACTCTACCTAAAATAACTTCAATATCAATCATAAAGCATCGTATAGAACTACTCCATGATATAAAGTACTATACATGACGTAGCTAATCCTACACTGAAATGAATGATAAACTATTCCCTATCAGAAAATAGCTTTCACCATGATGAAAGCAATATCTACGATTGAATCCACAATATAGTCCAATCTAATAAGTATTCACCAAGCTGATATTAAAATTAAAGTTAATTATTATTATTATCTAAGTATTCCTTTAATTAAAAATAATCAAAAAATAATTATAATATCATTAATTAATTAATCTTCTACACCATCCTTATCATACAATAGCATTACTTCTCTAATCTCATTTCGTACTATTTTATCCCTGTTTTGTACCAAAAGTAAGACGAATGCATTGTTAAAATTAATATACAAAAACATCAATGGATAGTCAATATCAGCTTTTAAATCGAAACTACAAGAGGTATCTGGGTTAGTAGCTACGATGTTTAATATCGGTAATTAATTTCCATGATATCATGTTTAGATATCGAAAGGTATCTAATTTTGGTTGGCACTTTCAATAATTCAGATTGGATAGCTCTTTTAGTCTGAATAACTAGTAGTCTTTTCACGAACTATTTTCGTATTTGTATTTTATGTTACATTTCCTTATATTATATCATCATTGCCAAAGTAACGTGATTAGCTGCTATGGCAGTTGTTCATGTATAGCGATATACTACACAGTCTTGCCTATAATTTGATATAAAATTCTCATCTAATGTATGTATATGTCAAACTATGTAAAGTATTGGCCCCAAGAAAATTAGATGTAGCATATTATATGTAATAAACGTATACACCTGGTTATATTCTATTTTTAAAATTGTAACTAACATGCTCTTTAAAATTATAACTATAACAAGGTAAGAAAGTTTTCGGCGCACCAATCGCAGAAGAGACCTTGGATTCAATTATTCCTTTATTAAAGTTCTTACATGAAAGTGAGTTATAACCTCTTCATATACATCCCGAACGCGTAGAGTGTTGAAATCACGGTTCTAAAAGAATACTAGTTATGTAATATACTGCATGTATACAGATGGAATATATAATTAATCAAAGGCTTCGGTATTATATTAATTAACCATTAATAACTGTAAAGTTATAGCACAGGGACAGTAACGTAAATTATTTTGAGATAAATAGATCAAGGTATGAGAATGAATTACTGGTTAAAACATGTAACACTACTAGCCTTGCAGCTTCTAATTCAGTGAAGGAAAATTTAGAATCAATTCAACCGTTAAGATTATTAGTGAAAGTAAAATAACTAATTAATGATACTATTATTCAAGTCATAATCAAGTTCTGAAATAAATCTCAATAAGATGATTTTAATAAAGGATAGATTTATACGTATATTTTTCAATCTTAACAGTAAAGTAATTACATGCTAACAAATTAAATTATTTCCTTAGATGCTGACAGGGAAGGTATATTCCGCGTATCAGGCAATAAAAGACGTATCGCTCAGCTTAAAGAACTTATCGACAATGATAATATAAATATAAGCAAGGAATTGGCAAGTGGAGAGTATACGCCATTCGATGTTGGAGATTTACTAAAGAACTTCTTTAGCGAGTTACCAGTTTCCTTCTTACCTGAAAATCACTATTCAATTTACTACAAAACTGCTGGTGAGTATCTATCTACACAATGTATAGCTTCATAGCGCCATAACAATTCCTCTAATCCATGACTTCAACAACGCTATTTGTAAGATTGATTATCTGCAATCAGCTTATTAACATACATCATACCCGTAAATATTGTTATTCTAATATTCTCTGTGGTTGTCTGTAGAGCTACAAAATGATGGGAAAAGATTAGAAGCGTTACAATTATTACTACTTTTGCTGTCTCCAGAAAGTAGAGAAATTTTACACCAACTACTTGGACTATTACATAAAATTTCCAGATTAAGAGCGAGTAAAATGACCGCTTACAACTTAGCTGTTGTATTTACTCCGAATATGATACATTTCGGAAAGGTAAGACAAAGAGCATCTAGTTACCATCCGTCTCTACACATCTCAACAGTATCATTAATCTTTAAATTTTATTGAAGAGACTAGCGGTATTAGTTAATATTTTTATGGCTAAATTTTGTGCAGGATCTAGCAACAGAAGCTAATGATATTGAATTACTCATGAGCATAGTTACCTTCATGATTGAAAATTTTCAAAATGTGTTAAAGGTATACCAATAATCATACCATTATTACATACTTACCCAATTTAAAAACTATTAGCAATGAAAATGATCATAGATAAGACCAATTGACAAAGTTACTTTCCTTCAGATTCCATGTGATATTTCAGTCCAAATTGAGAAGTATATGAAGAAAATTGAAAATAGTGAAGAGGTTTGTCATGTTTCCAAAAACCAGCTATACCTATTCGTATCATACATCACTATAGCAATCTTTACGTTATTAACCGGAAATTTTAAGTAATCATCAGTTTCTCATATAATACATTTACCTTCCAATCTATGCAATGATCTATGAAAGGACGATGCCTTAGCCGAAATTGCTATACCAAGTTCAGCCAAAAAATCGACAAACTATGAAGAAGAAACAAACCAACACACTGCTGCAGCTCTTTCACAGCTGTTAGACCAAATCAAACAAATACCTGACGAGGCTCAACGAAATGCAATGCTAAAAAAGTTCGACAAGTATCACGTTGGCACTCCTCCTATGTCAGCTAAACGATCACTTGCTAAAGTAATTTTATAGTTAATACTTGATTAAAGTTGTCTTTTCAGGTTGATCTCATGTTATCGTATATAAATTAATATAATTAATATCATTTTCGTTTATTTGTATTGTAACGGCTTCTGTCGCAGCCGATCATATCTTTATAATAGCAGACATACGGTACCTATGAATGCAGAAAATTAAAGCTATTCATTATTGTAAATTCTTTATATCTATAGGTCAACGCTACTCCAAACAGTGCTTATAGACCAATGCATGCAACACCAATAGCAACTCCTCAGGTTACTTAGAACTAATAAAGTAAATGTATGTGCACTTTAAAATGAATTTTACTCCTAACAATATTTAATCATTTTTGTAATTAGCTCCACAGAAAATTGTTTAAAACTCCACAAAGTGCAGTTGTTAACGGATTGGTAAGATTTAGTTGTAATATGTTGATATAATACTTTAGACTCATGCTGATATATGTATTCATAAATACTATTTTTTGCTCACGAATTATAGGATCCAGTCAATTCCATTACAAAAAGTGCGTTTGGCGTTTCTACTCCTGTAATTAAGGTAAAGATGATATTGCCTTAGTCAAATCATTGGATAAAAAGTACTTTTCCCTCATTTCTATGGTGTATATCCGGAAAGATATCATGTACAAGAATAATAATTGATAAAATTCGCATTTTCTAGACGGTTGGCCGCGATACTAATTTGGAAACGCCCAAAATGGTTTGCTGTTTTTCGATAATTCACTATAAATATGATAACAATGTACTTTAAATAACTTTATGCTTGCTTTTTCGAAATCATCTAGTCTAAAGTTCGCCAGCTAAGACAAGGTAGCTTTCATCTACCGAAAAGAATCAAATTAAACAAGGTCTATTAATCAATCTATTTTACAGTAACTCCTAACCTACAGTTATATTATATTTACTGCTTGCATAATGACTTTTGAGGGGAACTAAATATATTGCTTTCTTGTAAACAGGAAAAAGAAAATTGTGGTGTTCCGGTGTAATCGTGACAATCGCTCTGCCATTAAGAAATTCAAATAAAGCCTTTTAAAAAGAAATTTAGGAACATTTCAATTATGATAAATCAACGTTGAAAAAGATTTTCGTAGTGGGTTTATGTGGGCTAACCCGGCGATCACTTATATTTAATCACTAACACTTCTATATTTATAGTATGATGTTTCGTAAAAGTTACGACGAAAGGACTACTTATGATGCGAGAGGTATTATTAAATTGAAATAGTTACTGTGCAATGCACTCTTAATTATTAAATTTTACTTATACTTTTGAAGATACATGTCATAAAATAGTAGATACTGTATACTGCACTATGATTGACCGAAACGGTATTCGAATTTTCCTAAATTAAGCTAGTGTTACTAAAACAACTTAACTAGCTTTAATATAATCAGAGGATCTATGTGCTGTATTAACATAGAATGCACATAAAATCACCTCCATTTACTGTAGTAAAAAATTTTATGAAAGGTTACATAGCATATATTGGGCAATATAATATTTATTCCTGATGGTTTTCATTAAAATTTTAGGTTACCGTAATTAATTGCGCTACGCATACTTGTCGCAAAATTACCCGCTGAAAAGTAGCGAGATCTAAAAAGTAAAACTCGTTTTTATCCTTAATAAATTTGATATTTTATACGTGCATTGCTATTAGGGTTCAGCAATTAATCTTGAGTTTATAGGGTAGTCTATAAAAGCTACACAGTATCTGTAAGCCCGTTACGCCGTTTTGTCACTAATTTTATTTTACAATTCAAGATACTGCTGCAAACAGTATGATACCTAGTATGTCTATTTGATGCCTACTATCGACATTCACACATTCACATAAGGGTAATTTTGTACATAAACTCTTGAATGGACGCCAATGTTTTTAAGTTCTTTACAATTTTCTGCATTCCACGGTAGACAATAACGGCAACAGCAATGTTACTGAGAATCAGACTGGTTAGTAAAATATTTGCTGGTATGTGGTTTAAAAACCGCGATTGCATAAAAAGTTAATAGTACATCTCTTGTGAATGATTTATACTAGATACAAACAGATTCATTACAGTAACTGACGTAGAAATGCAAGCATTAGTGCTCATTTCTATCTCTTAGATATCATACGAATTAAGAATTCATCAAGAAATCATTGTGTTCATTACATCCATGAGAGAACAGTTGATAAGTTATAACTTAATAGGAAGTCATGCGTTATGCAATTATAACTGAATAAGATTCAGGTCTTGGATAATTTCAATTATTCTCCTTTCAAGCAGGTGATCAATTCGTTCGATTCATACATTTCCTAGGTTAAATTAGAGAGAAAAGAAGGTTAAATATATATCAGTATCAAGTCAGATTAATATTATTAGATTAGAAGATTTACTTCAATGATATCGAGACCACCAATGAATTGACCATCAACATATAATTGAGGGTATGTAGGCCAATCTGAGTACTTTTTTAAGCCAGCACGAACCTGATCGAGATAAAGATAAAAACTTTAACGTACAACAGCTAATTTAAGAATCAAACTATTACTAAATGTGTTGCATATCTTCGAACCTCTTGATCAGCCAGGATATCGAAAGTCGCATATGCTACCCTATAAATGAGATAAGCATGGTATTCTTAGAGCTTTGTGCTAAGCCACTAAGCGTATAACCCACATACCACTATACTAATACATCTATAATTAATCTGACGATAATCATAGTATATGACGAATAAATAACGCTATTAACGTACCCAGTTTCATTCAAAATTTCACAGGTACGCTTACTGAAGCCACATTTCGGTGTCTATAACGATCATTATTTTATGCAGTCAATGTCATGATCTATTCGATTCTAAATGATCTACAGTACATAGAAAATATCTTTACATCTGGCGATCCCTTCATGAAAAGGAGGACTTTGGACGATTTTAACAATTTTTCGATTCTCTCATTTACATTCTGTTTCTTAGGTACCATTGACGCAAAATCTCCACTTTCTATCATGTCCTATATACGTATATTAACCTTAATATATTAAGTTAGGAAACTACTAGATATGAAAGAAAAAAAACGGATAATATCCATAAAGTATATAAACAGTAATAGCGAACCTTTACAATATCTAAACCACCTAGCATTTCACCATCAACATAAAGCTGAGGATACGTAGGCCAATCTGAGTATTTCTTTAAACCTGCACATAACAGACTACTTCAGTTTTTGGCACACTCAGCACTAAAACGATTCGTGTACATGCGTAGAAATATTTGAAGATTATAACAAGGCCGTTGGCTCGTTTACACAAACCTTGCCTAATTTCATTGTCACTCAGGATATTAAAGTAACCATAATCGACATTGTGGTCATTTAATATGTTTATCAATTGACGGCTAAATCCTAAAGGTTTAAAAATATCAACAGAGATAAATAAAACAGTAAATCTTCATTGCCAAAGTATTTATAAAGGATTGTTCCAAAAAGTAATGGTGATCCAGCACTCATGTATTTCTTACCACATTTGGGCTCGTCTGGGACTCCTTTCATAAATAACATGCATTTATGACTGTTTAGCAGTTTTTTAATTCTAGAGTTCACTTCCTGCATAAATAGTCGTAGATATTTTAACATAAGAATAAGGCAAGTTCATTTTTGATATCAAGCTAGAGGTATGAAGTTCAATTTCTTCCTACTTCTTTAGTTTCTTGAGGTGTTTGGATAGAATCCAAGGATACCGGCACAGTAGTATTTGTATGTTGTCCAACTTTTGTAACTAGTAAACTGGTATTAGCGCCATTAATTCTGTCAATTTCTTTGGCAGCCTAATACCCCGTACAGTAGTAATATATAATATAATAAATATCAGTGCAAATGGTATCGCCAAGTATCTCTATATTTATTCGTCCAATTATTTGCACTATACCTTCATCAAGATGAACGTCGGTACAGCAGCAATATTATATTGAAGTGATATTTCGGGCATAGATTCTGCTTCAATCTATGATTGCAATAAGAAGGCAGACATAAATTATGATTGAAATAGCATGTTACAATAGAAAGTTGGATCATTCCACAACCCGTGTCCATTATAACAGTCTTATCCTTAAAATCGAAATTGCCCAATTGTAAACATAGTCAGCCTACGCTAATCAGTATAATCTATAGTGCAATGCACTATCTATCTCCATTTACAAATACTAGGAGAATATTAAGAAGTAGAAGGGTCGTCTTATTGTATGGACAAACCTTGACAAATTTGATATTGAGGTATTTGTTGGCAAGTTCGTCTAAGACAACATTCATTTGCAAGCATTGCGCGGCCCATGTCGCCCAAAAGTGAACCACAGTTAGTGCACTATGATAGATAATAAATATAATGTCATCATCAATATTTATCCTGCCATGGCATAGTCTTTGCATCCTTCTAGCAGCTAATACATTATGCTACCATGCCAGTTCTTAAGCTAGCGATCGTTGTCTAGGTTACAGATGATTGATATTTGCTATACTGTACAGTGTACTGTACATATACTTTCCACTCAGGCACAATCAGAGTTGCCAAGTAGTTGACTATGAATGGAAGTGATTATTGCGTAAAGTATATAACGATAAGCTTGGAATAGTATTGATATTCACTATGAATCATGATAGCCCAGATAGGAAAGTATAAAGCATGACACTGCTCAGCCATTTGCAAGTTGTACTTCTAACTGCTCCATTCTTAAGAGCAAGACTGGAGATTGGCATGGCTCGTCGACCCACTAGACATGCGTTTCATGCAGAACAACACGATTACAATATGCTGTAGCATTACCTTCCGACTTCCTGAAGAATATCATTGAATTCTTCTGGCGTACTGACACTGACTACAGGCATGACGAAGAATTTTCTTGCTCTTCCAGCGATCCTTTTGCTCTTTTGCAAGATGTGAAATTGGAAGTGATGGAATGCGTCAGCATTGCGTATGCGCAATGCTGACGGATTTGATCGATTTCTTATAGGAATGGACTTGGTAGTCATGGTCACAACCTTCTATTCCAGCCTATGTTTGAGTAATTGACTAGAGGTTTTCTTTTAACCGTAGTTTTGCACAGTCATCGACCCAGTGTTGGAGGCGACTAGCAATAGATTATGCTATACTATGAACTACTCGATAATGTATACGGGTGTACCCATCGATAGATTCTGCGACTGTGTAATAATAATGTCACCTCCATGCACATATTGATCCAAAAATGACTGTCCAGTATCAGTACTCTGAATAAGGTGACATCAATTTTGGTAGTACAATCGCCAAAGAGGTTGTCACAATGGTCTAAAACATCAAACAGTGATCTGTATTTGAGTAACGACAAGCAAAATAATTGTCACGACCAAGCACCGTCCTTTCAGTCCTGTCTGTCCCCTTTCAAAAGTATTCTACCATCCTGTCCAGAAGGAAGCTCTCTGCTTGCACGAATTATTTATCCACCAGCTAGTACAAGGACGAAGAAGAAATTGCATATAGATCCATAAGCAATTGCTAAAGATCATTTTATTGCTGAAATTGTAGAAGATTATTGGATAAATACACCTATTCCAAAGCTGTTTTAACGATCTCCACTCTTTTTTGGTCTCACAGTAATCGATAGAATCCACACGAAATTATTGACATCATGGCGCAACCAATGACTGTTGATGAATTCAATGAATACGATAGTTATACAGTTCAAGATTGGGAAAAGATGTGGAATGATGGCCAATTAGGCAGTATGACGTCCAAATTTCATCCCATGATGGTTAAATTCCATGAGATGATTATTCAATCAGATCGCCATAATCGTGTTTTTGTACCTTTATGTGGTAACTCGTTGGATTTATTATGGCTTGCTCGAAAAGGATGCTCTGTGGTTGGCTCTGAATGTGTCGCTTTTGCTTGCCAAAATTTTTTCACCGAAAATCAAATACCTTATGAGATACGTGCTCTAGATGGCATTGATGGCAACGTATATTGCAGTAAAGATGAAAAGTTAGATATTAGAATATTTCAATGCGATCATTACCAGTTGTCACCACGCATTGTTGGTTATCCATTGGACAGCGTTTGGGACAGAGGAGCATTTAATTCGGTACCCATGAAACGCAGAGCTGAATATGTGCAACATATGAGCACTTTATTGACTAGTTCGGCTACTGTTTTAGTCGCAGTTTCAGAATATGAGATTGTCAGTGAAGGCGATGCAAATCACGATATCCCTACTGCTGAAGAGGGTATTTATATCGCTTTTAAGCCTCTAGCAAGTGTCGAACTCATTGAACGCTCGATTACTGAAAGACATGAATTTGAAAATCAAGTCATGGAAGTTGGCGAAATTTTATTCAAAGTTAAATTTAATTAAAACAAATGCTCGTATATTTTCTCTAATTGATCATATTTGACTGCAGTGTTCTCTAATTTATCGTATGGACTGCAGTGGGCTTGTTTTAATTAATTCAGGTACTAATAGAACTTGAAAGGCACTTTTCAATGTCTGTCAAAACTTTACTAGATATTCTAATTCGAATAAGTACAGTATCAGTATGAGCTGCTAGATTTTTTTCTACTATGGTCTCTTATAGCTTTTATTGTATAATCTTATTACTCAGGAGTACCTCTAAGGACTAACTAAAATAATAATGTAATAATCATAACATGAGGTTCTATATCAACTTTGGTATCTTAACATTGACCAATTATAATCTTGGCTCAAACTTAATATTTGTTGCGGCGGATAGTGTGCAGTACTATTATCATTCAATGGCATCCATTCTACTAATTATAGTTGTAGAATGGTGATGCGCATAAAATGGATCATTTTTATGATCGGTATTGCTACCTATTTCCTATCATTTGAGTTGTTACGATGTCCTTGACGCCTAAACAAGTTTACTAGAGAATATTTTGATCTTTTAACAGCAATAATTGGAAAATACTTTGCTGTCTCTCTACCTACTTTGAGTTGCACACGTCTCATTCCTACGATTTTTCGTTAATAGTAGCTACACTTACTGAATAAGCCTCCCATACGGCTATATTTATCCACTCAATTATTCAACGGTATTAAGTTACAAGTCTCTCGTTACTGATTTTCATGCAGCTGTTAACAGCAATAAAATACTTTCCAATATATGGCATGCAATACTTGTATCGGTCTTTTAAAGTCATACAGTAGTTGAGTTAATTGTACTATGACTTGTAGATAAATTGCATCATTGATAATTATAAATAAATATTGACAACTTCAGGGGAGAATTTTTCGTAATGCTTTAATCACGAAATACACTATAGCTTTGTACGCTTGCGACCATGAAAACGTGAGTACAGTCCTAAGTTTCAACATCCAAGGTATCCTAATCATACCTCAAGCCTTAACGGATTCAAAATGGTTGCTTTTGTTGCTCTGTAAACGCCTTTAAAAAATATAGGCACAAGGGGACATTATAAGGCTAGAATCTGTAGTTAATGTAGCAAGAGAGCAATTTTCGGGATATGGCGAACATGGGCCGATATCGTTAAGCACATTATCTAATTTATTTGTATAGTAAATATAATTTACTCAGACTGTTGAAATTACAAGGCTCACCAATTGAATAGTTAAAGTCATGAAATGAAACAAGATGCAATCAGTAATCTTAATTACTGCATTTGCTAATTTTTACATTTATTAACGACCCATGAAATATTGAACAAAAACGATTCATCATAATTTTGACTACCATGAGAAATATTATCATCTAGTATCAAGTACAATATTCTGCAAAGAAGGAGTAATAGCATTTGTAACTTTAGAATAGGCATAGCATGGGCAATTGAATCATTCTCCAAAATAGATTACTGCAATACAGTCATGGATGCCGTGGATATTAGAATTCGATAATAATAGTGAGGGATTGCAGGTATACGCGTAGAAAAGATGCAATCATAAAAAGATCGCTGATGATGATTGTAGTAACACTTAGGCCAATTACAATTACTTGAAATGAATTTTGAATAAAATTTCTGGCATTTGGATGACCTGATTGTTATCACCTTGCCACTCAGTGATAGAACGATCGATTTTCTCAATGTTTGCACTCGGTGCAAACGCTGAAAGAAGGCATTCCTCAGCACTTGGGATATTATGCCTTTCATCCGACTGACTGATAATTTCGTATTCCACGACAACAACGAGCATCGTTGCTGTACTGGTTAAAAGTGTTTTCATATGATTAACGTACTTGTTGCGATCTTTGGTTGGCACAGAGTTAAAAGACCCTCTATCCCATACACCGTCAAAGGTAAAACCGACCATAGATGAGGTTAGTAAATAATGATCACATTGATAAATAGTGATGTTTAATTTATCATCGGTACTAAAGTACGCTTTCCCATTGACGCCATCCAGATCTACAACATCAAAAGGAACATTGTTGTCCTTGAAAAAGCTTTCACATGCATAAGCAGCAAATTCAGTCCCCACAACGGTAGCTCCTTTACCAGCCAACCACAATAAATCCTTAGCTTTACCACACATTGGCACAAAAATTCGATTGGTACGCTGTGGTGCTAGAAGTAAACTATGAAATTGAACGAGTTGTGCTTGAACTTTTTCAGCAGATTGATCTAACTGGCCCTTTTCCCATATATCTCGCCAACCATCAGCAGTAAATTCTTCCTGCTCTTGAAATTCTTCCACTGTCATTTTGAATGCCATCATTCACTTTCTATCAAGGGTGATTATGATTTTCCTGCAATTGGTAAATAATTAAGCTCGTCTTCCAGTGTAGAGTACAGATGACTAATTTTAGTTCCACGATCCAGACAGATTACTCTTTCCTCACGAACACGAACTTACCCATAAAACTGGTCTATAATTAATGACTGCCTATTGCCCAGTATAAAATAGCAAAAGGCTGAAAGTGGAACTGTACAAGGGAAATAAGATGACCAACCAATCACTCCTACTGCTGGGAAACTGGCAAGATCAGTCTCCAAGCTGCAACCTCGACCGTCTATTTAAGGGCTTGTCAATAATAATGCGCCCTACCTTAACGAGTTGAGGATTGGGGTGCGCCTGGGGCGTGTACTGTGCTCTATGCACACCATAGTTACAGCATTCGTAGAAACCTTCGAGTTTATTTATGGACTTCTGAGTGCAAATAAATAAAGTCATCGGCAGCGAGTAGCTTTGCAATTTGGACCTGTAATAATTGTTACTTCTAAACTATTCCAAACTACTGGTTCACAGTAATGCTGAGACTGAGTGCCTTAGGATAAGAATAACTTCATTACATCCATAAAAAGATTACAGAATATGAGCAATAAAAAGGCTATAGCTAATAGTAGAACATTCTTCTAGGAATCCTCATGTTAGCAAATCTGAGAAGCTACTCTCGCTCTCTGCCCTAAACCCACCCTTCTATACGATCCTGGCCCATCTTATTTGTCAACATATTCTGAACAAAACTCCAACACAAATATTTCCGTACTAATTATAGCCTGGAGATTAATCTGAAAATATCGGACCACTGTCCAGTAAAAAGGCCAATTTTTTAGCTTTTTCCCCTTAAATTCTGGAGAATTAGTTTTAAATGGGCATGATGTGTTATACAGTACTTGCTTCGGACGGTCCCTGCTGCTGTAGACCCTGGAATTTTATAGACAAAAAAATAAAGAACTGTTCAGTAAAGTCAAAAATACTTTCTATGATTCTACTGTACGAGTGGGATGATCGCAGCCTGTTTTGCATATGCCTGCAGTGACTATTATGGTGGATCTTGAGGTTGACTAGTGATACTTTCCATAAAATGCAGCTCGCACTTCGCTATTACTTCATTGACTTTATTGAAGGTTGTCCTGTACATACATTAGCCGAGTAATTGAATGATCGTGTGAAGCAAAACCGAAGAGGTCTTAAGACTTTCCTTTTTGAAAAGATTCTACCTGTAATAGTAACGAATCGTTTTGTTACTTAGCAGCGTTGTCCGATAAAGATATTAAAGTTGACTCAATTGCTAGACACGATACAGACAAGCATTTTGATAACATAACATGCTGATAATTTATAGTCTATGATTCATTATTAGAACTTAGAACCTATAACTGTAACCTTAGACTGCAACACCGAAAAGCTGGAAGTTAAAAACGTATTTAACCATGTCATGACTTGTCCGGAAGTATTACGCTACATTAAGGTAAATTAGATGAGAAATAAACTATCGTTGATTTGATGTAAATGAAGAACAGTCGTGTAAAATATCATTATTATTCTCTATTCGTAGAAAAGATGTCGCCTTTTCCAGTATGATTATAAAACGAATGACAGATCGCATTACGCAACTTTACCAAGTGCAGAACGACTTCACAAGGTTATTTTTACAATTATGATATTCATGCGTATTATATTATTCTAACCGGCCTTGAAATAGAACAGTAATCATAAATTTTTAGAATCGTAGGCAAAAACGTTTACAGATTTTAATTTATTTAATACCCTATTACTACAGATAGAAGGAAGGCCCATAAGGTTAACGGGTACTATAAACTCGTACTATTTAATAATAAACTAAATTATTATCGTTTTCGGTATCGAACCAATACTTTATCACTTTTTATCATATTGCAGGGAATTGTTATGGCGATGTGCGATGAGGGGCTTCGCTCTTTAAAGAAAGATTATGAACTAGACTTCGAAGCTGTGAAGGTATGGAAAAGTTAATTGTGTAACCGTCGAAATAATTAGTATTTGTGCATAAGAGGATTTTAACCTTAACTTAATAATTTAGCCAAAAGTCGACAATGTGGTACGTGTGATGGTACCATTCGAAGATGAATTAGAGAAAGTAAAAAATAGAGTTCTTCGAAAAACGCTAAAATATATAGACAGTTTAAAAATCGCGGGCTATGCGGAAGTAGTCGAATATTATAAAGACAAAGCATTTAAATATTTACAGGTTCTTCATGCAGAATCAGAAGCAGTCTTAATACAAGCAGAAAATGAAGAAGTCCAAAGTGAAAAGAAGCGAGCTAATGAAGAAATAAAAATTAACCCAAGAAAAGAAAATTTTATCGGACAATTTACAAAAAGAAAAAGACAAGCGATTATCAGCAGAAGAATAATTGGATCTGACAACCAAAGAATTAGAACATGAGAAGTTTGAGGTGGTCGAGTTAAAAAAAGGAATCGAAAGATGTCATGCAATTATTAAACGAATTGAAAATAAAAGATTACCTGTCTCCCATAGAACTGTAGTTAAGAAAGAGAATGAAGAATTTGACAACGAAGAAAAACCAATCCTGAAAGCATTGAGAAGGTAAACATAACAGATAGAACTTTGAAGGAGAGTATACAAGAAAATAAACGAATACTACTTGAAGGGATATTAGATATGATAATCAAGCTATTGAAAAAAAAATATTTTGATAATGTCAAATTGCAAAGAAAGCTAGAAGAAATCAAACAAGTGATAAATGAAATGGAAAGTAAGGAATTGCAAGCTACATGTGCACACTCAAAAGAAGCCGCAATCAAGAAGAGAAATGAAGAGATTCAAATGAGAAGCAGATTAGTGAAGGAATTGAAAGGTTAGCTTAGTAAGGTGCATATTCAAGGAAGCCGCGATCAAGGAGGAAAATGAAGAGAATCGAGATGAGAAGCAGGTCAGTGAAGGAATTGAAAGGTTACCTCAGCAAGATGTAAGCTAATGAATAGTTTGCAGAAAGAGTAATACCAACGCTAAGTGCTAGATACTACCAGGATGAAAACGAAAGTTGTATAGCTTGTAATTCCCAAATTGTAAAAGAAGAAAAAATTTCAAGGCGAAGCGAAATTAACGAACTAAACAATAATTAATACAATTGCTAGTTCTGCGGTTTATGCTTCGTGTTAAAATTGCAGGGGTATAGTATATGTTTCCTATTCATTTTAAATCCTGTTAAAGATTATGAACATAGTAATGAATATCGGTGCTGACTATGTTGTTATTATTATCTTAAAAGATTAGTAACGATAAGTAGAGCCTCATCATGCAAATCTATATCTAGTAGTCGGTGAAAAGGAGTGCGACACTGCTGTCGCCTAGAAGATATAGATTCAATCTTTTTCTTGCAATCCTGGACTTATTTTTGATAAAAAAAAATGTTAAATTTTATTTTATTTATAACTGAAGTTATTTCTCTTGATTAAAACTGTTTTTACGTTCATATTATCATACTTTCATCATTATCTATTTAAGTTATGCATATCAATTTAAGTTGTGCAATCCTGCATAACTATAGTCTTACTACAAGTATGATCACCATGATTATAGACAAAGCAATAATTAGTACAGTACGATATCTAGTACCATATAATATAAAAAGAAGATTTCTAACTTAAGAATGATATCAAATTTTCGAAATCATCGTTTATAGTTGTAAATTAATCATACTATAATAACTATTTTCAACACTGATTAGAGCTAGGAGTTATTTTGCCATGGTTCTACTTGTGTCTGATTTAGAACTATAATAATGTTAAATTGATTATCGTCTAATTAACTAACATTAACTGACAGTGAATACATATACATACTGTATTAACAGAATGCTAGAGTAGATTACTACTACTTCTGCAATACAATGTGGTTTATTTTCGTATCTAAGTCATAAATATAATGGGTTAGTAACCTTTATTGCATTTTATCTAAGACATACAAATAATTACTAAGCCAATATATAACTGCCAAATCGTAAACTTAATTGTGCAATAGATTAATTCATTCTTAGACAGCGTAATTTAAAGGCAGATAGTTAATAGATAATAATTGGTGGTTATGAACTTTATCGTAATCCATATAGTACATGCTGTGTTTGGTAGAAAAATAATTTGAGTCTCCTAAAGACTTTACAATCCACATAATTATACTACAACGGGTTAATAAATGTGATATGACTTCCTGATGCGTGTCATCATTAATATTTAAAAATATCGACAACTTTACAGAAAAAATTTTCTCTATATTTCAATCGCGAAATACTCTATAGCTTGAGTTAGTATAGTTATGACAGCAATGGATGACCAAAATTGGAAGCATAAAGATGTTCATTTTGAATCCTTTTTGTAAAGTGATTGCGTACATTTGCGATAATGAAAACGTGAGTACAGCCCTAAATTTTAATATCCAAAGTATTCTAGTCATACCTCAAGCCCTAAGAGATTAAAATCGGTTGTTTTTGTTGCTGTACAAATACATTTAATATAGGCGCAATAATACATTATAAGGCTTGAATCTGTAGCCAATGTAGCAAGATAGTAATTTCCGTGATATGGCTAACATGGCCCGATATCGTTGAGCACATTGTATAATTTACCCAGTTCGTTGAAATTATAAGGCGCTTCTATTTAATATTTAAAATAATGAAATGAAAAAAGATGCAATCAGTAACCCCAATTACTGTATTTTCTAATTCTTACATTGATCAGTTACCCATAAAATGCTTTTTTAACATAATCGATCAGCATTACTATGGCTAGCTTGAGAAATATTATCGTATAGTATTAGGCGCAGTATTCTGCCGAGAAGGAGAAATAACATTTGTAACCCTAGAATCGAAATATTATGTGCAGTTGAATAATATAACCAAACATAGATTACTGTATTACAGTCATGGATGCCGTGGATATTAAAGTTCTATAATAATGACTGATTTCAGATATTGCTCGTAACAAACGGATATATGTGCTTACGAATATAAAAGACGCAACAATTAAAAGAACATCTCTAATGATGATCGTAGTAACTTTTAGGCCAATTACAATTACTTGAAATGAATTTTGAATAAAATTTCTGGCATTTGGATGACCTGATTGTCATCACCTTGCCACTCAGTGATTGAACGATCGATTTTCTCAATGTTTGCACTCGGTGCAAACGCTGAAAGAAGGCATTCCTCAGCACTTGGGATATTATGCCTTTCATCCGACTGGCTGATAATTTCGTATTCCACGACAACAACGAGCATCGTTGCTGTACTGGTTAAAAGTGTTTTCATATGATTAACGTACTTGTTGCGATCTTTGGTTGGCACAGAGTTAAAAGACCCTCTATCCCATACACCGTCAAAGGTAAAACCGACCATAGATGAGGTTAGTAAATAATGATCACATTGATAAATAGTGATGTTTAATTTATCATCGGTACTAAAGTACGCTTTCCCATTGACGCCATCCAGATCTACAACATCAAAAGGAACATTGTTGTCCTTGAAAAAGCTTTCACATGCATAAGCAGCAAATTCAGTCCCCACAACGGTAGCTCCTTTACCAGCCAACCACAATAAATCCTTAGTTTTACCACACATTGGCACAAAAATTCGATTGGTACGCTGTGCTGCTAGAAGTAAACCATGAAATTGAACGAGTTGTGCTTGAACTTTTTCAGCAGATTGATCTAACTGGCCATTTTCCCACATATTTCGCCAACCATCAGCAGTAGATTCTTCCTGCTCTTGAAATTCTTCCACTGTCATTTTAAGAGCCATAGTTAGAATTTGCTTTGGAGAGAGATTACTGTCGAACTGTAATATAATTTTCCTGCAGTCGGTAAACAATCGAGCTAGTCTTCACCTACAAGTGTACCATTCACCTTTACGAGCATGCACTTGCCAATAAAACAGGTCTAGAATTACTTGCTGCCCAGTATAAAACAGCAAAAGGCTGCAAGTAGAACTGTAGAAGGGCAAATCAGATGACCAACTACTGCTGCTGTTATGCTGGCTCGAATCCCGATCAGTCTCATTAGACCTCAGCAGCAACTTGTTAATCCAGTCTGTAAACAATGTTACATGAGCTCCAACACCGTAGCAAGTGCTTTAACTCCTTATCGCTGACGAGTGTTTTGGGCGTGGATGTGTTTGGATGTCAGTCAAATGGCAGAAAGAAGGTACCAGTACGGTCCTAGTTCAGTACCAGTACCACACTGAATCACAGTCATGGCAGAGTGTACAGTACGGATTTTGACTACTGTCCGTACAGTACTGTACACTGTACACTGTAGATTGGATGAAGAAGAAAGTCATTTGACGATTTTGCTATAGCTTTAGTTAATTACTTTCCGCTGTATTTAATAAGATAATGAAGAGTTCATAAGTAAAATGATCTCGTTGTGGATTAAAGTACTGAAATTAGGCTTTAATTTCGAAGTTATATGTGCAGTCATGTCATGGACTACTAAGTCATTACTTAATAAATCCCAGACTTTATTGAGTAGTATATACAAATCATTCTCTAGACTATACTTTCAATGTGAATCATTGGGACGGCCCTGTTGGAGACCATGCTATTTTACATAGGAAATGGTATAACACAAATGAATCATAAATAACTGTTCAGAAATGTAGAAACATTTTCCATCTTTTTAATGTATTGGTGGGGAGAATTACAGCTCGTCTTGCATACGTTTGCAGTGACGATAATATCGTCAAGCAGTGCGATATAGTGTACAGTACAGTAGTTTCGAAGTTGTACACCAGTCTGACCAGTGTCGATTCGAGTCCACAATATGGTAATAATAGATGAAACTCATTGCGACTCTATAATGAAGGATTTTCATATTCTATACTGGTTCTTGTAGCAGTCTATTCTTATAAATTGGCAGGGTCTACACATGGACTAATCATGATGACGCTTGAGATCGATCGTCATCATTCGCAGTCGAGGCTTTTATCCTTCCGTCTTGAGATTCTTGTTAGTAAGAATGTGCACACAGCAAAAGTATTTGCGATACCTTTACAGCGCCTTAAACAGAAGCACAAATGGCTAGATGGAAATTCAATCCAATCCAACAACATCCATCAATCAATAAATCAAATGACATCAGTAGAAAGTGTAGGAGTCAATCTACAGTATCGATTTCATACAAAATTTCTATCGGTAAGAATGTGCACACAGCAAAAGTATTTGCGATACCTTTACAGCGCTTCAACAGAAGCACAACTGGCTAGATGGAAATTCAATCCAATCCAACAACATCCATCAATCAATAAATCAAATGACATCAGTAGAAAGTCTAGGAGTCAATCTACAGCATCGATTTCATACAAGATTTCTATCGGTAGAGCACTCAGTACATGTTGTGTATTGTTCTCGCTCTAATTTTCGACTGTAAGAGAGTACAGTATAAGATAACGCAATCCTGTACACAACAGAATTGGGTACTCTGACACATATTGTAGCACTCTACGTCTCGACTGTGCGGGAACGTCCCTCTAAGTTTCCATCACGCCGACGCATATTTTAATGTAATCTAATTGTAGCCACTACTGATCATTTTCTCACTCAAGTTGGAGGCCATACGTCGTCGATGAGAAGATGGCGCTCTTTACTAGATGGCTCAATCCCAAGAAAGCGCCAGAAGGTCAGTTGTTGGGATAGTCTTCTTTCAATTTTGCTATTTCAGAACATTGGATAATTCAACCAGTCACTTTTTCCCATTACCCCTTAGACGATGATCGTATTCAATTGAGTTCATGACAAGAAATCAGATATTGCTCTCCATCTGTTGTTACCTCGATTAACTTGCACAATAGTTCATTTATTTTCAGTCATGCAGTCTCCAAGCCTTTCATCACTTTAAGGATTGATTTAGACGATGTTGAATAGATCAAATACTAATCTTCAGATAGTAATGTAATCACCTATTGCAATCCCATGGATCTAACGCCCTAGACTAGATAAGCATTAATTCCATTATTAAAACTGTGACAATAAATGATCATGATCAATGGATACGAGTAAATAAAGAGTCATAGTAAGGATAGTTGTTAGAACAAGAACGATCCAGAGAACTTCGATACTTTGCCTTAGTCTAGGGTATTTGGGCTAGTTTTGATTAATAAACGGATTAAACAAGCTGTCACTTTCTTGAAAAGACGATCTGCTAGGAAGCTAACAGTTTAGTTGACAGAATTTGATTCTTGCCCCATTTTATCCTCTAGTTGTTCCATTGATAACCGTAGAAAAAGATGATTTTTCAATTCAAGTCCATCAAGAAAACCTACAACAACTATTCGATTTAGAACAATTGCATAAAACCAAGGTTGTGATTATCGGCATTAGTGGAAAGAGTCGATCTGGCAAATCTTTACTTATGGACATCATCAAGCTCTTTGTACAAGAAAAGGTGAAGTCAATAGATAGCTAGTAAAATAGTTATTCTACTTATAACATTCAATTTTTTCATCAAGTAGCGCTTTGACAGTTACCGTGAGATCAGTCAGCAATGACACAATTAATCATAAGATACATGTTATTGTATTTTAACAAGCATTCATCATTTGGATTGTAGATTGTTAACGCTCAAGAAGCTGGTCTTGCATCTCGAGCGTGGAAACTTATCGCTGGTGAAAATGAATGGTTAACGGCCGATAAATTGCAAAAATCGCAGGCTTCCCACTTTATGAACTTTCAACCTGCTATGAATGCCAAAGGCATCTATGCTTATAAGCAACCCTTACTATGTAAAACAAATGATGATGATAAGGTGACGAACTACTTATGCTATACTTCAATACTGCGCCGGAATTTTAATACTCATTATAATTTAATTACATTCTATCTTGCTATAAAATTTAAATTGCAGTATACTAGCTATAGTGTCTGCTTAGAAATACCTATATCCAGTGGATATAGAAATAATATCATTAGCCTTATTCATATTCTTCCATTTCTATTTAGGTCGTAGTTGTTTTTCTCGATACCAACGGTTTCTGTGGTAACGAATTCCACTTGGATAAAACTATCTTCATTCTGATGTCTCTAATCTGCTCACATCATGTAAGCGTATGCCACTTTAATCTTGTCGCCAAAATCTCTAAAGATAACATTATCAATATCAATCTACCATTTTGATATTCTTTAACATCCGTAAACGGTACCTGGCCCTAAATTTAACCGTTGTAGTAATAAATTGGATAGAATTGAGCATTTATTTAATCTCAAGCTGATAATTGTTACAAGGGTATAATATCTATTTCTTTCCTCAATATTACTCTTTCTTGACAGATTATTAATGTCCAAACCCATTGCGATGACACTGAATTCGCTATTTTAAGTGTAAGTGCTAAGTTAGGAAATACAGCATGCTCGCATGATAGAATTGAGTAAACGATTGTTACGGAGTAACTTTTTACACAGCTGTCGTAACATAGATTTCATAAGATAATTTATCAAGGAATATATTTACATACCGTTATCTATAAAGTTTTACATATTTTCAAGAGATAACTGCATAGTTTTATAATATTATCTATCTATAAATCGATAATTAATGTTTATATTGATTTACTACAAATTGACTTAACCTTTTCAATAAAGTTTGAGTTCAGTTATGTCTAAGAGAGATTAGTGGTGTTGCCGTTCCTCCTGACGATAGGAGATTGTCAGTATTTAGAGTCGTACTGTAGGTTAATGTCATGGAGGATAAAGTTGACAGTAGACTCGTATATAATTTCCATAATAGTTTTAACTTTTCCTTGGTGCAAATTACGATTCGTAACAACGCTTTACTAAAATTTAAGGTCCAAGAAGACATTTTACCTGATCAACTTACTTACATTAATTTGTTTCTACTATAAGTTAACCTTATAGTGGAACCCGTCGATTAGCACTGTATTTATCATCTAAGCCTGTTTTATCTATTTGTTTAACTTAAAATATTTGACAGACACTGGAAAACTGTTTCAATCGAGCAAGTGAGAAGTGTGACGTAAAACTACTCTTTCCGGTATGTTAGAAATGACTATAGTTTCGAAACAGTAATACTGTAATATATCTAAAATGAGAAACTTTAGCTGTATACAATAATATATCTAAAAATCAGACGCTTCGTTATATTTAATACATTACAAAGTACGGGTATTATATCACTAACTACTAATTTTATTTTACTACAGAGAGCTACCGTGATTGTTCGAGATTCTTTGGCAAATAATGAACAACTCGGTTTAGTCGAAAATACTACAGCAATGCGTGTCGTAACGGTAAGCTAATCGTGTATTATAACATATGTTATTTCAATTAATCATATGCACGTACAGTATATCCGTTTAAACTAGGATTTCATATCGATACTTTATCAGTTACTCCGATATAGCCGTAATTCTAATGCTAGTTGAAACATGCATCAGTGCTAGAAAAATTATGTACAAGGAGATTATACCTAACTCTAAATAAACTACATCACTAGGGAGCGGACAAAGTTGATAGAATTTTAAGTAAACATTATCGAGATGTGAAATGGTACCTTTTCCCGACAACATCACCTGTTAAAGACGGCAACGAAAACTCAGCTGTTGGTGTTGATATTTTATTAAGTATGTATTCTATTCTATAATCTTACATAACATTCCTGCTTGTAGTATACATCTCATCCCCATACACTTAACATAATCATTGTCTAAAATAGTTCGCTAGTTTAATAAACGTTATTGCAATTAACAATGTGATAAATATCCCTTTCTAATTTAGGCGACAAAGATGAAATGAAGCGACAGCTGATTAATTTTTGTAAAGACTTTTGTAATCCTGAAAAGCTGGAAGTTAAAAGTGTATTTAACCATGTCATGATTTTCCCCGAAGTATTACGTCATATCAACGTAATTATACTAGAGTAAAGCTATCGTTGATGTGATGTAAATGAAGAGCAGTCCAGTAAATATCTTTGTTTTCTCTAATCGTAGAAAATATGTCGCCTTTTCCAGTGCGACCCCAAGACGGATGCTGTGTCGCATCGGGCAACTTTGCCAAGTGCAGAACGACTCCACGAGGTTATTTTTACAATTGCAATATTCTTGTGTATTATATTATTCCAACCGGCCTTGAAATAGAACAGTAATCATAAATTCTAAGAATCGTATGCAACAACGTTTACAGATTTTACTTTAATACCCTATTACTACAGATAGAAGGAAGGCCCGTTAGGTTAACGGGTATCATAAGCTCGTACTATTTAATAATATACTAAATTATTACCGTTTTCGATATCGAGCCAATACTTCATCACTTGTTATCATATTGCAGGGAATAGTTATGTCGATGTGCGATGAGGGAATTCAATCTCTAAAGAAAGATTATAAACAATACGTCAAAGTTGTACAGGTATGCGAAAATTAATTAAGTAACCGTCGAAATAATTAGTATTTGTGCATAAGAGAATTTTAACCTTAACTTAATAATTTAGTCAGAAGTCGGTAATGTGGTACCAGAAGATAAACTAGAGGAAGTCAAAATCATAGTTCTTCGAAAAACACTAAAATTTATGGACAGTTTTAAAATCGCGGGATGTGCAGAAGTTGTTGAATGTTATATAGATAAAGCATATAAAGATTTACTGGTTATTCATGCAGAATCAAAAGCAGTCTTAATACAAGCACAGAATGAAAAACTTCAGAGTGAAAAGAAGCGAGCTAATGAAGAAATTAAAAACTTAACTCAAGAAAATAAAATTTTATTGGATAATTTACAAAAAGAAACAGATAAACGATTATCAGCGGAAGAAAAATTGGATCTGACAACCAAAGAATTAGAATATGAGAAGTCGGAGGTGGAAGAGTTAGAAAAGGAATTGGAAGATACCATGCAATTATTAAATGAATTGAAAATAGAAAGATTACCTGTCTCCCCTAGAACTGTAGTTAAGAAAGAAAAAGAAGAATTTGACAACGAAGAAAAACCAACCCCTGAAAGCATTGAAAAGGTAGATGTAACAGAAAGAGCTTTAAAGGAGAGCATACAAGAAGAAAAAAACAAACGAATACTGCTTGAAGAGACATTACATATGACAATCAAGGTATTGAAAGAAAAGGATTTTGATAATGTCAAATTGCAAAAAGAGCTAGAAGAAACCATGCAAGCAATAAATCAAATGGAAAGTAAGGAATTGCAAGCTACAGGTGCTCACTCAAAAGAAGCCGAAATCAAGGAGGGAAATGAGGAGATTCAAAATGAGAAGCAGATCAGGGAAGGAATCGAAACGTTACCTCAGGAAGATGCAACCTAATTAATAGTTTGCAAAAAGATTGTTACCAACGCTAGGTACTAGATACCTCAGGAAGAAAATAAAAGTTGTATAATTTGCAATTCCCAAACTACAAAACAAGAAGAAAAAATTTCGATTGTAACGCAAGGCGGAAATGAATGAATTAAACAGTAATTAATACAATCGCTAGTTTTGAGATCTACGCTTTATGTGAAAGCTACAATGGTTAACGTTCTCTATTTATTTAAAACCCTGCTAAAGATTATGTATATAGCAATGAATAATTAAAATTGACGTACATATCAGTGCTGACTGCGTTCTTAGTAGCAGCAACCGTATTAGTGCAATAAATCCTAATTTACTGCTATATCGTATTTCTCAAATAATAAGACTTGTCTAAGGAATATCTTAAAGAATAGTAACGATTAGTATAGCGGCATAATGCAACATTATATCTAGTAGTCACTGAAAAGGGAAAACGACACTATTATCGCCTAGAAGATATAGATTCAATTTTTTCTTAAAGTCTTGGGTTTATTTTTGGTAAAGAAATGTTAATTTTTATTTAATTTATAACTTAAATTATTTATCTTGATTAAAACTATTTTTAAGTTCATATACTTATATCATAATTATCATAGCTTTGTCATTAAATACTTAAGTTATCTTATTTTGCGTAACTACAGTCTTACTACTAGTATGATATTAACATGATTCTAGACAAAGCAATAATTAGTACAGTACGATATCTGTGGCTGTATAGTATGAAAAGAAGAATTTTAACTTAAGAATGATATCGAATTTTCGACATCATCGTTTATAGTTGTAAATTAATCATGCTATAATAAATATTTTTAACACTGATTAGAGCTAAGAGTTATTTTGCTATGGTTCTACTTGTGTCTGATTTAGAACTATAATAATGTTAAATTGATTATCGTCTAATTATCTAACACCAACTGACAGTGAATACATATACGTATTAACAGAATGCTAGAATAGATTACTACTACTGCGATACAATCTTATTTATTTTCGTACCCAAGTCATAAATATGAAGAGTTAATAACCTTTATTGCATTTTATCTAAGGCATACAAATAATTACTAAGCCAATATATAACTGCTAAATCGTAACCTTAATTGTACTGTAGATTAGTTCATTCTTAGAAATCATATTGTTAAATCTTAGATAAGGTAATTTTAAGGCAGACAATTAATAGATAATAATTGATGGTTATGAACTTTATCGTTATCCATATAGGACATAGTGTGTATGGTAAAATAATTGAAGTCTCCTAAAGACTTTACAATCCACATAATCACACAACAACCGGTTAATAAACGATTATATTACTACCAGATCATAATCACAGGGAATTTCTTGATTTTACTTTGTCCTATTATATTTACTGTCATCTCGGTAGATAAAAGGATTTATATTGTTCACACCTTCGCATCATTCAAAATTACACACCATGCTGTAGCTGTATAGTAATTAATTGGTCCATTAACATTGACTACATTTACTATTACTTATAACAAATATATCTTGTTATAGCTGCAAATCTCGACCGACTAAGCATAACTCAAATTGAGGTCATTTTATATGATTGTGGAGTAACTTTATTACAACATCAAGGTAACACGATAGTTCCAATTGCACCAGCTTTGGACTGAATGCCCTTTATTACAGCATTAATTACCCATTAGGAAAGGAAACACTTAGCATCATTTTTAACATAAGATTCTTGATCACCTGCTCTTTTCAACAAAATCTACAAAGCAAAGCATAACAGATATCGTTAATCATTTATCGATAGAATGGTACTGTATTAGAGTTTACGAAACAATTCTAGTATTGAACAATTTTAATCTTTCCATGCTCATTTATTTTGATCATTTGACGGAAACAACTTGCTTTAAAATTCATGCTGCAGTTTTCATGGATTACAGCACGATCAATACAAGGATAAGCAATCTACCAAATGATCTTTGAGTTAGCGGAGTATCTTGTAATAGATATTTGAAAAGTCAACCTTTTAGTTAAATGTAATCAATTGCCATATTACATTAAACAGTGAGCACATGCTAATAAATGATAGCATTGTCCGAGCTTCAATTCTAGGCGCAATTGATATCAGAATGGGTTTACTTTTAATACAAAGATCCATAACTTATTTCAACATCTATAAATAGTACGATTAAATATGGATGAAAGGATCATCATTTTATCAACATATAGTTAGTAAAGTGAAATAGAATCTACGACTTTAATTTTACGATAGCATAGGAAAGCGAACATTTGGGCAACTAGGAGTCCTAATCAAATGAGGCAATTGTTTGGCTTCTTTGTTTGGCAAAGAATTTTACGATTGGAAATGATAACAAAATCCATAAAAGAGGAAGAAATGAATTCCAAAAAACATACCGATACATTAGGAGAAAAATGTGATTTTTGCAACTGTATCAATAATGCATGCATGATTGGAGTTAGGGTTATTAAGAATAATAAGGTGTCCTGTCTACCGTTGATACAGCTATGGAATTGATATGTACTATTTACATTTCTTTCCGCAGTTATATAATTGGTGTGCTGAGGAGACAATTGTTTCAATTTCTGTGTTGATCATCTCCATCGTAAAGTTTACCTCACATCTGGTGTTCTTTATTACACTAACTTTGCTAGAAGGATTACATAATTATTATTAACTATAGTACCAGCTTGTAATCGACTGGTAATACATTAATATATACCGTACTGTATCAGTTAGCCTTGATAGATTCCTAAATTAGAAAATGGAGCAATGGCTGTTCCATTTTCTATACCCTGTATGTACTGTACTTGATCACACATGCAGAATTGTACTCGTATACGTACAAACAAATTTGCCACTGATGGCGATCCGATGCTAACTAGTATTAAAAGTAATTTTGAAGTTGTTATTTCTGTATTTTGAAGCTATTTCAATCTATCGAGTGGCAACTATTACGTAATACCAAGTAATCAGCCTGAAAAAGTAAAGAATGTTATTTAATATAGACATGAAGAGGTAATGATATCCAACGATGATAAAACAATGAAAATGATCGAATGATGGCAGACAAATAGCCTTTCTAAGTACGTCCATTTTATACGGACATTCTGATTGGTTTTTTCTACCATTAAAGTATTATTGTCTCGCGCGGACTTGTTAAATCATACACGGAAATAGTCAGTGTATTGTTTTTCTAAATATTAATGCCATGCCATCTCGGCATCAAGCCTTCCTTCTCAACCAACTTCATTAACATGACAAAGATGATGGCCACATAGTCAACACCCTCCGTTGTCTAAAATTATATCAACAGTAGTCCATACAAAGTTAGCGTTAGCATTTTAATTACATCAATCTCTATTACATTGATGGTTGAAAATGTGTGACAAGACGCGATGATGACGACAATTTAGATCAACAATTCTATCATTCAGTTCTACGAAAAGGAAATAACAAAGACCAAGTTGAAATTGTAGCCCAACTATTGTTTTGAAGAAAAATAACTCTTAACTTGTGATAATTTTATAATCAACACCAAGCTAGCGTGTAGAGCTAATTTCACTCCAGGCCAAGAAAGGGAACGGCAGATAGCTATGGAATGGTTTAATAAATGTATGATATGGCCAACACCAGAAACGGAAGGTTAGAAAAATAAGATCTCATCACTTCAATAAACAAGCTATTTTATTCTTCTGATTTTGCGATCTTTATTAAGAAGCGTATTACATTCAGCAATTTAAAATACGCTAGGGTCTCAATTTTTTTTCCCCCTTCTTAAGCTAGAGGCAATGAGCAGCTCTGTTTTATTTGGGTCCAGTTGCTATCAATATCTTAAGTTATGATGTATTTTTTCCTTATACTTTCTACTATCACGTAGAGACAATTACTCCAACATGGACATTTATGGCAGATTTTTTCAATCAAATTATAACTATTTTAATACCTTAACGCCTACGAAACAATTGTTCGTTATCCTCCTTTAAACCAGTGTATCCGATTGATTTCAATGATTAAACTATTCATGAAATAATGTTGATTATTTTGCTGGTTCCCACTCTTCAAGCGACGCATATCAACATAACGTATACTTTATTTTATTCGACAAAGTTGTAAGTGCACGCTTGTAAAGTGGTCGAGTTAGTCAAGCGATGATAGAGAAATGGAAAATGTTACTGATGATTCAACTCAATCGTTACAATAAACAAAACAGCCAAGTGCAAGATGGAAAGTTTACCAATCTTCTTTCAGCCGAGATAAAATACATAGAGTAAGGAAAAGAGGATATGATGACAAAAACTCTGATTTACATGGAAGATAATAAATATTAATCACGATATTTTACAACCATCCAAACTACCTCCTGTTCTTTTATGATTTTGGCGGCAATGATCATTTTATCGCGTAATGATTCACATTGATTTGACTAGTAGAGGATAAAGTTAGCGATAATAATTCTATTAATGTGTGCCTATGACACAAATCCTTTTACGGTTGCAATATTTTCTCTCTAACATACTTTTGGTCAGATGGATGTCACTACCTAGTAAGGCAATTCGTCCACTCTGCTAGCTGAATTAGCGTCCAGTGAATAAAGCTACTTTACCTTGTTTCATTCCATCTATCGGGGGGATTTGTAGTCGCACTTCCTTTTTACCTACTTTGATTAATCTCCAAGCTATAGAATTGATGTTGCGGAAACATTAATGACAAAAGCCAAAGCTTAACTTTTTATTATCTATTAAACAGTCTATTTGGGTTGTAATTTTTGCCTTATTTAGTCCTTTTACCGTTTTATTCTTCTAAAGTAGGCTTACTAATAAAACTAATTTTATCATAGTAGTAGACAAGTTCATTTTATCATAGTAGATTAACTTTCTCCAACTAACACTGTGAGTTACGTCTGATATCCCTCTTTGATGGGATAATTGAATGTTCTAGGACCGGTAATGATGTGTAAAATACTTAGTCTGAACATACATTATTCTAGACTACCTTATTCTCATCATTAAAACGTCTGTTTACACAGCGGTGTTTTAAATGAAGCTAAATCAAATATGATCACATCGCGAAAACTTGCTATTAAATAAACCTTTGGACTCCGTCTAGGTAGCAATTCAACTTGCCCGTAGCAGCTTTAATTACTATACTTTAAAAATAGCAATCACGATCGAATGCCTATGACAGGCTATTCTAAGAAAATGATTCCTCAATGTCTCTCGAATGCAAACAACTCTTGCCGCAATCATCAGATCTCAAGCCTATATTGCTTACTTATTGCAACTATATTGATACCAAACAATGGGGGATCTTCTAGAAACTGTTTTACCAACTTAGCCCTATTCTGTTAACCTGCATGGGTCCTGCGCAGGTATCATTATAAATCGCTTGTTTTTGCAAAATTTATAAATCTAACAACAAGATACAATACGTATGTGCTTGATGTACAGGCCAGTGTTTCTTGTAGTTTTGAAAGAACGAAGTCGATTTTGTGCAATATTGCAATGCAGTGCATCTTGAATTAATATGCATTGCACGCCCTTGCTCATGAAATGCTGCTTATTGCTTGAAAGTAGCATCAAGGTGGAACCATTAGTTATATTTAACGCGAAGAAAATACTGTAAGATCAAGTTGTCATTTCAAACATGTATGTTCTTAGGTAAAAATTCCGCCGTAGTCCTAACGGTAACTTATCAATATTATTCAATGTCTGGACAGGAGCATAGTATTTCATCCTTCGTAGTTGTGTTCATGGAGTCCTTTTGCGGGGGACAAGCAAAAAGTGCCAATGGTCCTTTCTACCCGCTTTCAAAAAGGGACTATCAAAGATGCACATCTCGAATGCAATTTGCAACCAATTATTTATAGCTTACTGTTGGAAACTGCACATAAGTATACCAGAATCTTGAGCCAACTTAAGCCATATTGCTTTTTGTACACTCAAATTAGCCGAGCATGAGTGACGTCTTCTCAACTAGAGTAGATTAACTCCGTGATAAAATAAAAATGAGTTCATCCTGTCAAAAAGTATTTTTAACTTTCTTCCATCTATTTTGACTTCTTCATTAAGATTCTTTTCATCCTATCTCCTCAAGTAGCAATCAAATACATCCTAGATCAATTTCAAATGACTAGTTTTAATACTTCCGAATGGCTAATATTATCCGCGTCCTGTGGACTTCAAACGGTAACACAATCCGAATGATCTATTTAGTTTGGACTGATTTAATTGCTTGTGACAAAACTTGGTATAAGTAGCATGATTAGAGTAAATAGCTCCTTTGAAGCAATTCGCGATATCTATATTAAGCGTATTTCTGCTATGGGGAGATTACTACACTTCATGTTCAAACAACTTTGTTGAGCTTTTTTACTTTATGCAAGAGAGTATCTGCGATTTGATCAATCTGTAACCTACACCGTATCGCTGTTTCATCGCGTATTGGCCCCCTATTCTACCTCTTCCAGTTATCCTTTTATCATATCTTCATCGCTAGAACATTTTCCATTCTCTCTGCACTCGACAGACATTCGAATGCCGTTATTTCTCCTTTCTCTTGTAAATAAAATTCTTCTCTTCCCTCGCCAAATTCATGTGATCATTGGTGTTGTACACTATCATTACACTCTCAACGACCACCTCCATCAATCGAGGCACCTACCTAAGTCAATGCCGATACGTCTGGGCTAGTCAACCCAACCGCAACTCCATCATAACTTTCCTATTGCAACATGGAGTGTATCGCAAGAAAATTATTGATCATTTAGTCCAGAAATAGTTTCAATTCGATTAGAATCAAATCCTTCCGACCTTGGACATTTTATGGTCGCTTAATCATTTCGCAACTTTCCATCATGCAACCTCCCCTTCTAGCGTTGCGTAGAAACGCGTCAGTCATCATGACAGTGACTGCAGTACGATCGATGTACAGTATAGTCTATTGGTTTCATTTCCTGTCACCTTCTTTTATGACGTCATCGAATCCATGCGACCCTACTGCATCATCTGTATTAAATTGCTATTTCCATACAGACCCTATAGAAGCAATGGCCTGGAAGAATGTTAGTGTACTCTCTCTCTTCTTGCTGAAAATGCGAAATAAAATCAATCTCCAGCTTATTTAACATTCTTCATATACCCTTCATTTGAAATAGTAATCCAGTAGGAAAGAATGCAAAATTAGTTCCATGTCTATACCAAAATACATATGAAGAAGAAAAAACGAAGTAAAATCAATCTCGAGCTTATTCAACGTTCTCCAGGTACCCTTATTAATTAGCAATAGTTATCCAGTGGGAAAGAATGTAAAATTAGTTCCATGTCTATACTAAAATACATATAAAGAAGAAAACCGCGAAATAAAATCAATCTCGAGCTTATTCAACGTTCTCCAGGTACCCCTTATTAATTAATAATAGTTATCTAGTGGGAAAGAATGCAAAATTAGTTCCATGTCTATACCAAAATGCATATAAAGAAGAAAATGCGAAGTAAAATCAATCTCGAGCTTATTCAACGTTCTCCAGGTACCCTTAATTAGCAATAGTTATCTAGTGGGAAAGAATGCAAAATTAGTTCCATGTCTATACCAAAATGCATATAAAGAAGAAAAGAAGAAATAAAATCAATCTCGAGCTATTCAACGTTCTCCAGGTACCCTTAATTAGCAATAGTTATCTAGTGGGAAAGAATGCAAAATTAGTTACATGTATTTACCAAAATGCATATAAAGAAGAAAACACGAAACAAAATCAATCTCGAGCTTATTCAACGTTCTCCAGGTACCCTTGTCTCCAGGTGCCCTTAATTAACAATAGTTATCTAGTGGGGGAGAAAGCAAAATTATTTCTATGTCAACATAACATCTATACCAAAATGCATATAAAGAAGAAAATACGAAATAAAATCAATCTCGAGCTTATTCAACGTTCTCCAGGTGCCCTTGTCTCCAGGTGCCCTTAATTAGCAATAGTTATCTAATGGGGAAGAAAGCAAAATTATTTCTATGTCTATACCAAAATACATATAAAGAAGAAAACACGAAACAAAATCAATCTCGAGCTTGTTCAACGTCCTCCATAGTAACAGAAGATCTATAACTACATCTAAACAACCATTAGTACCGTATCCTACAAAAACCATGCCTGTTTATGTGCTGTAAATAGCTATATTTTTGAATACTGATCTTGACCAATCCCGATTTGAGCTGTCTAGTTAATAATATAAAATTACCTGTAATACAGTGGGAAATGCCGGCCTATAATCGAATATAGAATACTAGGAACTGACCGTACTTTACAGCGAGCGATACCATTTCTAGCTCCCTTGAGCTTTTTTCATTACCATCCAAACGGCTACTCATTCGAGCCACCATTGATTTTAAAAGGCATGAAATCAGTGATTACAGTCTTGCAGAAATGAATATTAAACATTAATTTAATCCAATAACCGATAATAATGTAGCTATGGTGCAAGTTGATTATATATAATTATTAAACGATAATTTTTTAAACTTAAATTTGCGATTAGTCATACCATTAAAATAAAACGGTCCTACAGAAAATGTTTGTCCAACATCAATGGACATCCAATACCATGGTAAAGTATCGACTGTAAACAAACGTCTATAGAAGTGGCATTACATACTAGCAAAGAACATATACTTTGCTAAGCGAATACTAGAACTCTACTTGACCACAATTTCAATTCCCTTCAGCTTTCCTACCATGTTCTATTCATTCCATATAGATGGTTTGCCAGAGTGTTAGGAGCACATAATCTTTTTTAGGCTGCCTTCTTAATAAATGAAATTGCACATTCTGTTATCCAAAAGATCTCGGAATAGATGATATCGCTCAAGGAAGACATGATTATTAAATAATCAGAGCATCGATCCATTCATTCTTCGTATCACCTCTTTCGCAATATAATCAATCAATCTCCTATACTTATATTAAAGCATATTAGCCGGCTATGATGTATAATAACTAGAATGAAGACTTTAGCTGTAGCATACGTATATACGTGTATAGAATCAATTAAAGGTCTATTAAAACGATATTACTTTCTATCTAAGGACGTCAGCGTCTGCTGATCAAACCAACACTAACATTAGCCCCTGTTGATACAGTTTTGATTACCTTGAGCACTTTTATCACTTTATAAGAGGTCATTGAGAAACAAATTGCTGATAAATGAGCAAAAATAGATGTATAGCAATATTTTGTTGAAAAGATTTTACGATTAAAAATAGATTTGTAGCGCAGCTGATTTATTGAATAGAATATAATTTCTTTTTACTTCCATCTAGCCGTACCATTAATAACGGTCGAACGGAAAACAGGTCAAGTTAAGGTGCACGAGAAAAATATCGATCATGTCTTGAAAAGACCAGAATTCAAAAATACCCATGTCGTGGTTATTGGAATACTTGGCCAACATCGTGCTGGCAAATCATTCTTAATGAATGTAATACGATTATATCTATTAGAAAAGGTAAATTATAAATACAGAATGATAAAAGAATATTATACCGAAGTTTAGTAATGAAGATAGAAATTTCTTTATTAATCTTTCATTCCTTCCAGAAGGATCTCAACTCCCTAATTCTATACTCTACTCAGTTACATAATTTAACTACAATCTTGAATACTGCAGTCATATTGAAAAGAGTGAGAACAATTTAAAAGATATTCTACTCCAATAATGCAAGCAATTATTTATTTCTAATCTTTCGTTCTTTGAGCCACGTTGTACTATTTATTATAACTTTATAGCCTAGTTATACTAAAAAGCTATAATACAATTACTTTTAGTAATACTATAGCTATTAAAGTCTAGTAGCAGAGGCAATAACTTATATTTCGCTTTTATACTGTTGCTAATGAGTTCTGTTTAGTCAGATGATACAATTTTACTGAAACTTTTACTTATTGTGATCATTCTGAAAAGTTATAAGAGAATAACATTGTGTAGCCATACTCTATCTCACCGCTATCACATAGTAATGGAGATCTTACCTTATTTCTGATCGCTTACTTTCAATCAATTTAGACTAAATATTCGATGGTATTGGAACATAGTTGGGAATCAATTAATAATAAGACTATTCTTAAAATTGGATACTTTATTCTTGATGTTTTGTGTTTGTTCACGACAGTGCTGTACATATTTTTCATCTATTGTAGTTTTTAATTTATATAAAAACAAATATATGATTTCATTCCAACCGTAAAGATTCCTTAAGGTTATTATTAACATCATTGTTACATAAAATTCGATAGGTAAAGAAAATGCAAGAGCTCAGTACTATTGGTAAATTATTACAATTTCTCAGCTCTGAGCCTCGCTGGTTAACTGCCGCCAATTTTCGCAATATACAGAGCCAATTTGGCTGGTATCATTCTGACTTAAGTGACACCAAAGGTATATATACTTTAAGAGAGCCCATATTGTGTCAAAATGCGAAAGGTCAAAAGGTAAAAAGAATGAGCTATCTATAGAAAATTTTATAGACTGCAATCTATAAATCTATCGCATCAAGTTAATACTGTATCACTATATAACTAGACAATTAAACGAAAATACAGTATTAAAGTAGGAATTGAAATTTTACTTCTACTCATATTTTCACACCATACTGAATTTCTTATCTTCCTAGTCATTATGCTTAGAATCTAGAAGGAGCAACAAACATCCAATAAGCCCGTTATGATTTCATAAATTAATTAATTCTTGGATGAAATTTTTTGCAAATTATAGGTTGCTGTTGTCTTGTTAGATACAGATGGCTCCATAGCTGGAGAATTTAACTATGACAATATCATATATATCCTAACATCCATTTTATCGTCGAAGCAGGTTCGATAAAACGCTTTTTACTCTAGTGTAACTCGTACGCATCGTAAAATGGCCAGTTATAATAAAATACTGCCAAACTTTGATACATATATATCCACTTACTTTGCCTAGTCTAATAACTTTACAAGAGTTTAAATTTAAAAATAATTTGTCTTTAAATAACAATAATGGTATTGTGTGATTACCTTAGATTAGGTTCTAATTCAAGATTGAATTTATTTGATTACTGTCATTTAGCCTAGTTAATGATGACAGGTTATTACCTGTTGCAATATTTTTGCTTAGAGACTCAAGTCGTAATAACCTTCATTATCACAGTTACAATTAGTCATAATTTGTAGTAAGCCGATTCGTTCAAAATATGAACAATAAATAATAGTATACATATACAGTTCTTTACCACGTCTTCAGTTCTATACTTTTTTTCTATAGATTTTAAATTTTCGCACGGAATGTCAAGATGATGAAATAAGAATGCTGAAGGTAATTTTGTATATTCCAGTTTATGATTAATGATCCTACTGTCGAAATGTAGCAGTCATAGTAACAAACTTTCCCTTAAAGATTTCAAGATTGTTTTAATCTTATTAAATTTACTACTATTCTAGCAGTTTTGCATTATATTTACACAACAGACAACTTTATGTGATCACCATCTTATCGTTGTAATAACTAGGTGTTGGAAGAATATCTAAATTATGCAACGGATAAAAGTCATACCAAATTATTACAAGTAAGCTAGTGAGATTTTTAAATCTCGCTATTGTAAAGTTATTGGAGGAAACTGTTGTTTACAAGAACCATTTGTTTTGACTTACTAGGACGTTGCTGTAATTATTCGAGACGCAAAAGTGAAGAAAAAAGAATTAGGCCAAGTAGAAAATTATCAAATGCACCACTTTGATCAAGTAATACTTGTATTTATTAATTAATTCTATTAAATGTTCTATTACCTTCGATAACTTTGTAATACTACTGTACCATAGCTTGATAGCTTCTGCTTATCTTAACAGTTAAAAATCACTCTATGACAATTCTGTAGTTAATTCGAAAACTTTTCGCTTAAAATTTTGATCTAATAATATAGAAAACGATAAACAAGGTAGATTATGAATTTAACATTACGTATCTTCAATAGAATTCTCAAGTTATGATGCCGGTTCTCAATTCTCATTACTGCAAAGTTCAGTCATATCTTTTCCCACATCCTACGGCTGGTCGTCGGTTAACTCCAATCAGTGCGGTGAAAGTCTTAGGTATTGGAACTATTTTGCTATTTGATTTCTATATTCCAATTGTACGGCTGATACTCGACTTTATTATGCTGCGTTCAGACGAAAATCACCCGTTCGCCATATCTATAGACGAGTTTTGCTCTACTTTTCTTGCCCCTGAAAATTTTATTCAAAAATCGTTTTTCCGAATAAAAATAAATTGTTATCAGTTGGCTGATATTATCAAGGTAAAATTAATTCATTAAAATACTCTCTTTATTCTCATCGTAGCTATAAAATTTGACTTAAATGGTTTTCATTATTCATTTAACGATGAGATATTAAGGTTAAATATACCAATCTAGCAATTAATGGGTATGAATTTCAATTTGTCGATAAGTTTAACGATTGCAAAATTCTTTCGATAGGTTATGGCTAATTTATTTCAAAGTGGGAAACTGCCAACGCCAGAGTTACTATATGAGGTACAGTAGTAATAACTTAGTAATATCGATTTAATAACTAGTCTTATCAGTAATTCAGTATTACCGTCTTGAATTTATTGCTGGTAACCTTGAGTAAATCTTCGTAATAATTTCGTTAGGGAATTGTCAAAACATTATGTGAATATGGATTAGATTCGGTTGTTATGGACTATGAAAAACACGCAAAATATATGGAGGTACTAAATAGTAGCTGATATTGCTTATTATAACATTTACTTCATGCTACGAGTAACCCATTCTTAATCAACGGCCTCATGGTAGTTTACGATTCTGTGTTGCTAATTGCAATTGATCCCTACAACAATTAAATAGGATCATTTTGGTACTAACAATATACCGGCTGAGCAACTAAAAAAACTAAAAGCTGCATTAACGAAGGTGGCGAGTCATTACTTTAAAACACTACGATCGTCAAAATGTAATGGGATAATCGAACGATCCCGCGAGCGGACGGAGAAAAAATTAGAAGCACTACATTCAAGTTGGCAACTGAAATCAGATGCTAACTGTAAGAAAAAAACGGCAAATCATCAAGCTAAGGAGCGTACAGAAGTTAATCAATTATATATGGAAAATGTAAAGTTAAAGAAGTCTTTGAGTCTGGAAAAGGCTAATTCACTAAAATTGCAATTAGAATTGGATGAAGTTAGGTCCAAACTATCTGAGGCTGATCGAGATACACTCAATCAACGAAGAAAATCTTGGGCAACAATTTCGCATACCGCTGAGTCATCCTCGAATGAGGATATTAATCCTGTCCAAGAGCAAGATTGTGGTTAATAAATTGGATCCTCTCTAAAGTATCAGCAATCTTGTGATAAACTGTATAAATCAATCATTTGTTTAGCCTAACAATTAAATTAGATAATTTAAAAATATTTTAAAACAGCAATAAAACAATAACATTGTTAATAGCAATAGCATTATTGTATTATTAATATAACGTATAATCGTATATAATTAATCAAGACTCTATAATCTTCTATAATAAGAAAGAATAGATTCTATGCTGGCGTGTTCTTATGCAGGCTATAGTGATGTAAGTTCCTATATTTAATTTGTACTAAATTAATATAATATATTTTATAATGCCAGTAGGAGAGTTGCTTAAATCTGCCCCTATATGTAATTAATTTCGATGAACTTATAACCAGTATTTTATTTCTGATTTGTCAATCTGCCCACGTATAACTGTGAGAATTTATATGAAAAAGCCACATAATTTCCTGTTACTAAAAATTTAAATTGCTACCTAAAATTCTTTCACCTTTGTTAGCTATAATACTAGGTATCACTGTAAAAGTTAACACAACTAATACGCCTATGTTGTCAACTGTCAATATTATTAATCACATTACAATGTGGTCAGGACAATTTTATAGAGAAAAATTACTTTGAAAAGTGATGATATTGTTTTTCAACATTTAATCTTATCTGCCTGTTAATAGCTATTTTTATTAAGAGCGAAAGTGTAAGCTATGACATAGTTTTGAAGAATTTTCAAGATTTTCAATTGTAATATTCCGTCATTTGTATTGATACTTGTATCAACTATCATTGTCTGCCACGGATAACGTATGATTTACTTACGCAGTTTTTGTTAGCAAGTAATCTGATGAAAGTATTCTTTTATAAAACATTGTAATGGTCGTTATCCTAGTAACCTACCTTTAAAGAAAGAATATCATTTGATACTTAGCTAATAAAATAATCTTCTCGAAGGTTATATGTAGTATTCATTAAGCCAGCGTACGATCATGCAATTTCTTTATTTTAGTTTTCTAATTTCGCAACTGTGAACAGTTGTCTAAAATCGAATTTTTGACAATTATTTAAGAAATCGATCATCTCAGGAGTCCGTTGTTTTATCAGAAGGTTCGTACGGAATTTTCGAATAAATTTCACCTTAAGTTTTATTTAATCGTAATGATTCTCAAAGATGTGATGGTTATAAAATAAAACACATAATGTGTCAATCATTGGAATATGCTCGTATTTCGAATCCTTGCCAGCAGCAGCAAAGAATAAAGTATTCGATATAGAACGAAATGGCGGCGAAGCGGAGTAGGAATATAAGTAAATTGGTAAATTAAAAGACATAATGGATGCCTATATAACCTTAAAATATAGCGTACTGTATTACAATAGATTTCTTCTATGATATACACTGTATTATTATCGTAATCCAAATAGAAATACCATGATTAATATTACAATAGGCTTATACAGTATTATCCAATCAATTTTATGATACAGTAGTTCAAAAGCAAGCGCAAATATTTTAGTTGTCATCAAAGCGTTAACTTTAGTAAACCATTATCAGGCAAATATACGAAGCCATAGTGCATCTAGACATGCCTGAAATAAATGACAAAAGAGTATATATTACATTGACAAGACTCTTATTTAACTTCTTGAACCAACATAGCGATGAAATTTTTCATATTCGTAAACATGTACGGTTATATAGAGTAAATGTAATGCTGTGGAAGATAGTACAGGTCCAATTTCGGAGATAGGTTTTACTTCATATAATTAACTTACACAATAATACCAATACCAGTCTGATATGTTCATAACATGAACATAACTGTGAGCACTGTCACAGAGCAATCTTTAGTATGATGAATTAAAGCACTGTACAAGATTTACGAACAAAAGGATCAGGAAACGCTATGAAGTTTTATAACATAACATAAACTTGTAATATCATATTCGTAGTATTATACACAAAGAGTTCAATTTTAAGTATCATGGTAAAAAGGTGCAAATATATGCATAGTTTAAATACGAACGGATACACAAGTATTGATACAAATCCATTTAATAAAATTTGAAGAAAGCGCATCTAACTTGCGCCAATTTGGATAGTAGGTAACAAATTAGTAACCAACGGTAGTAGATTATAGTTATAACCTTATACGTTCTTTAAGAACAGTGTTTGTCGTTATTTACGTACATAATCAGGGCGTATCATATACGGATAAGCGAATGTTACTACAAGTACGGTATCAATAGATACGCATTCTATAGTGAAAACATCACTAATATTCCTAACACAGCCAATATACATCTAATAGCCGGTATATAACACAATGGGTGATATCAATCTAAATTATCAGCCGTGTATCAGTTGATTAGACATGTTGTGCTGAATGAGGTGCTTCCGAGTGCTGACTACTAGCAATACTATAATCGTCACCATCGGCAGCAGTTTGTTTTTGTGTAGTTCTCCAACGCTCTACAGTCTTTACGCTAGCAGAGTCAACTTGCAATCGAATACCGACTGAACCACCAAAAAGTTTCGGAGGTGGAAGTCCATGGAAAAACATTGATCCTTTAGGTATATAAGTAGCATCTTTGTTAGTGTCGTTACCTTCTGCTGCGGCATGAGCACGTCGTTCATTAGAACGGAAAGAAAGGTAGTTTTTTAATGGCGAGATCGTACTAAAAAATCCACGACCAGATGTTTGTTTACTTGTTGAAGCTGTGGGAAGATTTTTTTCGGTAATCGTTTCTTGAATATCTCTATGGTTAACCTCACAAATGTCGTCGCCTTGTACAATAATCGCTCCAGTAGTGGCAATATCAGGTGTCTCATCTGCTGGGTTCAAATTGACTGATGTTAATTGGGTAAGGTTTACTTCAGGATATACCGTACTTGGCGCTGGCATTGCTTGTAGAGGAGTCTCGGAAGTAACCGCTTCAGTATGATGTTGTGTCTGATGATGATGATGATGACTGTGATGATGATGCCATTTAACTGCTTTATTGTATTGCATGTGCTCAAATAAGCATTTATGGACACGCTTAAATCTACGTCTCATTAAACGATCGCGCGCAATAATACATAAAGGTGTAATGATGTAAAAGGTGCTATTTAACAGAATGATAAAGCCATCAATGGAATGAAGACCGCGTATTGGCGCTATCCAATTGCCAATAAAGCTTATAATGACGTAAGGTAAGCAGAATATGAAATACGACCCTTCGATAGTAGTCAAGACATGAAACGACCTGCCCACTGTTACTGGCGACTCTAATTTAGGACGACTTGAAGGACGACGAATTGTAAACGAATTGAGATGACCGCGACCTTGAGATTTTTTCAATTTCTTTTTAGAATGTCGAACGATTTTAACTTGACAGAAAATGAAAAGTATCAAAGGTAACCCGTACAAGATTAGTCCTTGAATTATAGCAAATGTTAAATAATTACTTTGACCTTCAGGCCAAGGGACACACACTAAGCGCTTGGCATGGCAACTTTTAGTAGTAGTCTGATTGCAAAATAATGATGAATTGGTAGCATTTGTTGACAAGTTCTTTGAGGGAGTAATATGAGCCCAGTCGAAATTGGTCAACGCATAAGGTATAGTAAAAGCTATGCTAACTACCCAACTTACAATACACAGAAATACTCCACGATCTCGAGGCATTCTTAGGTGGTACTGATCAGGAAATGAATAAATCAAGTAGCGATCCATATGCATGAACGCCAGCGTTATATAGATTGCATGATTACTTACGTTCAGGATAAATGTGGCATACCTACAACCTATCCACTGAAGGGGCCATGAACCGGCGTTCATTTGGACAGCGAATAAAAATGGCAATAGTAATACCGTGGGTACAAGGCAAGCCATTATTAGATTTATTGTAAACTGTCCAAATACTGATACTTCCACTGATTTTAGACGATAGTGAGCACGAATTAAAGTTAAATTGAGGAACAAGGATATAGGAATTATGACTGCGATGTAGACAGCTTTCGTAGCATTTTCCAGATCGTCCGCGCTAATCGTATGTTGGTTGTTATCGCCATGTGTTATCGTCGTTGGCAGTAAAGTTGCACTACTATCATTGGCGTCCATCTTGTATTGCGATTGACACTTTCAATTTGGCCCTATTATTGCGACACTGCGCTGGTCTTGACCAGTTATCGCTTCATTTAAAAAGCAATCTTTCAACTTAAGTCCTGTAATCCACAGCAAAAAAATGATTTTATTAATAAATGAGGAAAAACAACAGTCATTCGTTACACAAGTTATACAAGTTTCAATGGTCTACAGTCGAAAAATCAATGTCTGTTTATATAGCCTTCGATAGTAGCCGCACTTAATCCGAGTTGATTTAGTGATGAGAGACAAATTTGGACTAGTACTGACAGATGGCAAGACGATGATCCAAGACGAAAGGTTGACCAGTGGCGACTGTACAGTACTGTACGGTTGGTTATTGCTGACACGTGGTTAGCATACCATCGGTCGCCAACTTCCTTTTCTTTCTATTGACTGTAACGTATTGTTTGAGGCACGATACTGTCATGCACTACAGTCCTACAAGTCTAGAGTACAGCACTGTAGATCACTGGATAAATACTGTAGCTCCCTTTTAGGGCGATTATCCACTGCGCACGAGTTGTGCAGGTGCTAAAATCGCCATGGCGAAAGCAGGGACTGAGTTAGAGTAATGCAGCAGTTGTCGTGTTTTATAGTCAATAACTTTTCAATTTAGGCCATAGAGGTAAAAGAAAAAGCTATTCAATAGCTTTTCTAGCAGTGTTGTCAAGATTTGCCTTCGGCACTAAGTACACTAGTCTAGCGGATCGAAATATTGAGCCAGTGCTGTAAGGGGAAAAAAAACCAGAAATATTTGCAATGCTACTGCACAGTACTGTATACTGAAGCGTGACTCCATTAGGGAATCATAGCGTATGCAGTAAAAAACATGGACTACATTGCATACTCAGTACTCCAATTTTCCAGCGGATGGAAATATTTCACGTACGCTGTAAAGTGTACAAGTGGGTTGACTTGATGGGATGGATAACAAAATGGTGCCAACAAACATATGACGACTACTGGAGAGTAAGAGTATTTACTTTTACAGTAGTTCAGTTTGTTGAAACTGCTACTTACTCTATTCAACGCTTTTTAAGTACACTGTCATGAGACCATGAGATTAAGAGCACGCACGATAAATATACCTTGGCAAAGATATGACGGGTGGCTTGGATCATTCAGTAGTGAATGTCATGATTGATCATTGATTAACTAGTAATCATTAGGTTAATTACTCCAATTTTCGCTGTCGTAAGGGTATATTTTTAGCCAAGCTCATCTTATATGCGGTCTACGTAGCAAGTCAAATTTACAGCCATAGAAGAAATGCTCGATTATATAATTATGTTAGACAAACATGGAGTACAGTATCATAACATTTCTCACACAACGTCGATAATGTAGTACGTCCTGGTAGAAAATCCAAGAAGAGACGATCAGTGCGCGAGGATTACGGTCGGTTTGTTGGTAAGGGAAACTTCATTATTACAGAATATAGTGTCATGTTGACAACTTCATAATACGAAAAATATCCACTCAAATTATAATTGTAATATAATTGTTGTTAACAAACAACAGCTTACTGGATAAGACTATCAGTTGGTAAAACGGGCATTCAGAGTCAAGTTCATTTTTAGTAGCCGATGCCTATTTTAACTCCATTCTACAGTATAGTGTGTGTAAACTGCAATTTGTACACTCGTCCAGTACAAATTTCGAGCGATTAGCGTGCAGCCGTTGCATGAATTGCTTAACCCTTCATTCAATACGCATACCCGTATACGTAAAAATACAACAAGAGGTGATGTAATCACAATATAAAAATCATGACTTTGGTCCTATCAATATCCAACAGTTGATCGTCATGGAATGCAATCACTTGAGAAAAACCTATTTTAGCTATTAGGAAATTGAATTAATTGTATTTATCTCCACGGGTATATGGTACAACAATATAATTCGTACGAGTTCATAAGTGTACAGTTGGTTAATTAAAATATACCACTGGAATATGGGTTTTCCAAAAAAAAAGGAACGCTTCTACACTTTATCGTCCCTCGTAAGATAGCCGACAACCTTCAAGTATTTTTATGTGCCAGCAAGCTATACGCGATTGATATTACAATTTCAACCTAAAGTTGAAATGAAAGCAAAGTGATTTACCTTACCGTAAACTTTCGATGAACCAGAGAATTCTTTCTCTCCTTTTTAGCAATACCAAAATCGATGCGGCGGCACAGCACACTGATCAGTTGCCACTTGCCAGTTTTATTTTGCCTTTGTTCACCGATTTGCCCAAAAAAGATTTTATAGCGTAGTCACTACTCTCAGTACAGTACTGTACAGTGTACAGTATACTTTACAGTACTATGTTGTACTGTACAGTATACTCACTGTACACTGTACACTGTACAGTGAGTGCCTGAGACAGACGTTGAGACAGACGCACTCTTCTTACCAAATGTGGCCGTCAATATCGGAAAAGTGGCTACTAAGTTTGCATCTTCCGTGTCTGCTTTCTAAATCACGAGTACTAATTTAAATAACGTCGACGATCGTATTTAACTGTTTCCAAGCGAAATCTTAGTCCAAGGAGTCATCAGTCCAGGTCTTCTTTTAGTACATTACAGTAGTCTATGCATACAACCAGACAGAATGCATCGAACTCGTTCATACGTATACTTGCACATGATTCACCCAAGTACACAACGAGCTCGATGCATTCTGAATGGGGCTAATAGTGATATCAGCATTGCTGCTTGATATACACTTGTACAGTAGTGTTGAAGTTAACTGTTTCATCAGGGCTTGATTTAAAATCAACAACGCGATGCCGGTACGTCAATGATTCTGCAAAAACTCGAAAACTTTCGATCAATCCGAACCCACGTCTATTTTTGGGGCTGTCGTGAATTAATTCATATTTTAGTTAAAACACTAACCCATTGATGACTGCTAGTGCAAGCTTGCATTTCTATGTAGCATATCGTTAATAGCTAGCGAGCTCCAGTGAGACTGAAATTCAAATAGTTCAAAATTGATCTCTCTGATTCTTACACAATCCCGCTATCGTCATCATTTGTAACCAGCATTTTAATATTTCTTGTCAAACATACTGTACTGTACGCGTACTTCAGAATCAGTCGGCAGTACTCAACGACGCTTGGGTGCAGAAATCAGTAACATAACCGATTTTGAACCTTAACATAGCTAATCGTAGGGTCACGGCCTCACAGCAAGCTGGAGATTATCCTGGCAAATATTCGATTGCAATAGCCAATCTTTCAGCTTTTAGCTTTCCAAAACTCCATAAATAATTCAATTTTTATCCATTGCGCGTAGTAGCTGGGAGCTATCAATCATCCTATGGCAAACATTTTACTACGCAGATTAAATTCACTAATCCATTCAGCAGTAAAATTGATTTATTTAATCTGATTTGGATTACCGACTCTCAAAGCACCTTTATCGTTTTATAGAAACAAACAAATATACTATTTGATTGTAATAAATTTCATAGAATTAAATAATAAACCTGGAGTTGACGCGTTAAGTAGAAAATAGTATCGTAATTTTATCTCATCTACAGACTAATTCATCACCAAATTTAGCTAACCACTATTTGTTTACTGATACAATATCGCTAAAACATAGCCAATTGCACTAAATCTCAGTACAGTACTGAGAGTATGCACAGCCGATCACACCATGTAAACAAAATACCTACAATATAGTTAAGTTCAACTACCAATCCATTATTTCAAATTATCTCGGAATTCTTCATAGCAATGTAAAGATATCATGCGATTCATTGAAACACGTTTACCAATATCAGTCTGCATGTTAATATGTCAAGTTAAAGATTTGGCACAAAGCTTGTATGATACAATTCGAGTACATACTGTGACGATTACTATAGCAAGCCATAGATCATGTAGCTAAAATTTGAAGTAATTGTAAAATAATAAAATGATTTTTAGGCAGAGCGCTCGATAGGCAATATTGAAAGACAACGTATTGATACGCCATCAATGCAATATACTAGGATATGAATTTACAACGAATAAATGATATCATGTGAATATAAAAAATTAATAAGTTAAACTGCTTCTGAAGATTCACTTTCTTTGTTAGCAACTTCGGCTTCCTTTAACAGCCTAACAATATTTGTTATCTGATCTGCTTTTAAATCTACTCCTTCTTCTGAAATTACTTCGATCGTCTAAAGATAGAAGGCATAATTAGGCAGCATTAAATGTACAGTACAGTACACACCTAATAGAATTGCTCGTATCTAATGACAACAGTGCATTATTGTTAAACACAAAATATCAAAAATATACTGAATTCCATATTACCTTTCTTATGTCGCTTATCTCAACAGAGCCATCATGATTTTCATCAAATATTTCGGCTATCTTTTTGATTTTATCGTAGTCAGGTTTGTCTTTTGAAGCCATGATAGCCATTACCAGCTCCTGCGTAGTTACGATTCCATCTCTAATATATTATATATAAGGTCCACTTTTAATATTGCTATACATTTATATATTAATACCGGCATCTGAATTAAAATGACGTCTTACCCCCTTACGTCACCACGTAACCTAGCGAAAAGAGATCGGTTACTCTTTTGCTTGCTTTTTTCCTCTAACTTGCTAATTTTTCCTTGTATATCTGTGATGATCCTATCAAGCCTTCTACCAAGGCGCTTAGAACTGATTGACTCTTCAACTTGATCATCCTTGCCAAGATCTACTAATTCATCGACATCCTAAAGTAGGATACCATAATTTTTGATCAAACTATCATCGTAACCATCAACCCTTTATTATATCATGATGAATACGGTTGAAATATGTTTACATACCTCTTTGTACTCTTCCCTATCTTCTTTCAATTCTTGTAGCAATTCCTTCTCTGTCGACAACGGAGAAGTTTCAGAAAGTTCAGAAATAGCTTTGCTCACTTCGATTAATTCTTCCTTAGAGATCTTGTCCTCCTCTTTGGTACTAATTTTCACACTGGGGATAGTATCCTTTATTAAAAGAAACATTGATGAAAAATTACCTTTCAGGCTACTTACGGATAAAGATAAAGATGGATAATTATTCATGGTAATACCTTAAGCACTTCCTTCTGAACGACTTCTTGTGAAGAATCGTCAGTCGCAGTAGATAAAGTTTCCTTTTCCTTCTGTTAGAGAATGAAGGAAATATATAATACTCGTATGACAATTTACAAAATAAATCTCATTGCAGTACATCATTTGTGATAGATCGTAGATTAATTATACAAACCATCTTTTCTTCCTCTTCCTTCTTCTTTTCATCTTCTTCTTTTGCGATAAGCTCCTCTTCATGTTTGATAACTTCTAACTTTCTTCCATGATCAATTAAATCACCTTCTACTTCAGCTACCTCGACACCCGCTTTATCGACCTGTAACGTAATAAATCAAAAGAAATCTAAGATTCTAAAGCTAGCAATAGCTTGTTATTGTAGTAATTAATTAGCTTGACTAACCATGCTTTCAGGCAATTTAGATAATGTGGCTTTAAGGGCGTCAGAAGCAGATAAATGTTCAGGTAGGTAAAGGGCTCGAGATAGTAGTAACAATGATGTTGGAATCTCTTTCTCAAGGTGCAACTCAAGCCACTATAAATATTAAATGCAGATTATTGAAAAAACTTCTGATAGATGTTATCTAAGTGCTCACAACATACAGACAATTTATAAAATCTAGACCTGAGATAACTGAGATTTCAATCTTTGAACTGATACACCAATTGCACGCATTCCTCTAGCTTGACAAGCAGACTGCAATTCTGCTGCATTTAGTGAATCTATACCTTCTTTCCGGATTAGCTGAGGAAATGCAAATGAACAAGAATTAAAATTGGATAGAAAACATAATGTTTGCGATAGTAATGGTTATAATTTACCATGTCGTCTGATTTTAGTTGCCTAAGTTTGAGTCTAAGTTGAAAGCGTAGGAGGTTATCCGTTCCATACGGGGTTATTAGTAATAATCTACACAATGCTACAAGTTGTAATCTGGACATGCTATCGAGAGTTAATTCATTCTTAAAAAACTTGGAATATTTAATAATATCTTCATTAGACGCTTGAGTTCCACTGGATCGTATCTAACATTAAGTAAAGGCATTAAGAAATATTATCAGAATCCGGAGTATACGCTCGCATGTACATCTTATATGCTGTATTAAAGATGAAGCAGTAAATTTATTCGATTTCATCAACATGAACTGCTCACATCTTGAAAAAATGTCACCAAACTTTGTGCCGAATCTTTTGATTGTATCTTTTTAGATACCGCCATCTCTTCAATTGTATCTTGTAAGAATTTTGCCATTTCCAGCTTAACATTGAGTTGTTTCCTTCGCTTTTCATCCTAACAGTAGTAAAGGGAATAGAAATTTACTCCAGGTATGAAGGCGTTCAACTAAGTTCGAGCTATTAATAATTTAAAGTAAAGTCATTTATTGTTCCAATACCCTTTTCTCCTTGTCCTCGAATGTACTGGGTAACATATTTGGAAAAAGTTTAATTGCAACCGGCAGCAATACTTCCATGAATGGTACAATTATAAATATTGAGAATGGTAGAAGGCGAAAAATATCTGATACTGTCCTAGTAAACTACGATTGAAAAAATAAAGTGGAAAATGTAAAGGTTTTACTTTTTAAAGTTCTCAAATGAAAACTCATTATATTTACCTGTTTTCTTTCACGTCTACTTAAAGAATTGCCATTAAGACTTTTCCATAGCAACCGAGAAGCTACTTTTATATCTATTGCCAATAATCGAAATCCGTTATAATAGTGTAATACTTCAGATTTTATCCTCTCCAATAATGATGGCTTTGTGACCATGTCTTTAGTATTAGTGTCAATGTGCCCAGTTTCGCTTACACCACCGACGACTGCAGTTTTTGATACAGCAATTTTTCGTTCTTTTAACGATTTGACAGATTTCTCGACAATGGATTCTTCCTCATCGAGCGAGGCGCACAAATTAGGTGAAATATGTAAAGATTTACGCTGTATTCGATTGTGTGGTAAACTATTAAATGACAGCGAAGTTGATGTAATGGGTAAAGCAGGAGCTAGCGATTGCCTTAGACTGATTGTAACATTAGTGAAAGTATATAATTTCGTTGGGCAAAGATCGTGACGGAATCTTAATTGCTTCGAATAGGATCTTGAATATAAATCAATATTCTGGCCTTCCTTACTAGTGGTGAGGTCATAATAACTTCGATTTTGGTTTGATTTGCCAGTTAAATAATAATAATTGCTTGCTAATGGCCGAATATGACTCCTATAATTGTAATAGGTAAATATTACGATCAAAATGCATAGATAGCGAATTGATGCAGTACTAAGAAGACGACACAGCTTTGAACAGGGATCCAATAAACAAATAACCCCTAATAATGCGAGTTCTTGTTGATCCTTGCATTTTATCATTCGATATATCTTACCTTTCAGTTATTGCTCGGGATAGTGTCCATGGATTAACTATAATTAATATGAACAATCAAGGTAACGACAATTAACATAACTTTAGTGGAGGATTGTATTAATGGTATGGGCAATATCATGCTAGTAACGTCAACTAGTTTACGAAATACGAAACAAGCTAGTAACAACGTGCAAATACGAAAACAAGTAAGGTACATCAGCGAAATTGGATAGAAATGTCTTCAATCTTACTGTACTCGTATGACTACTATGTAGGGTTGTGTAGGGATTATAATGGTATATTGTAGTAATCGTATTACAAAAATCAATGCAATACTAGTTTACGAGTAGCATTACTATTTTTAAACCTGAAATTATCATTAATAATAATAATTGATAAGGTTAAAAGTATCATAAAAATTGAAATTGTAACATAGAACAAAGATTCTACATAGTCATCTATAGACGGTAGACCTATTTCAAAATGATAGTCAAGATTGCAACTCTTTAGTAAAATGCTTTGATAGATGGAAGAAAAATGATGATAGTTTTAATAATATTTTAATACAGTATTTTGCTTTTGTTGTTGTATAAGCTTGCTTGTTACGTATCTTCAATTTAATTACCGATTCTATAGTATTTCTAAGAATTACAGCACCAGTGTTATTTACATAAGTAGTTGTAATTGGATCATTGTACGTACAAGCTAGCTCATGACACGAACAGTACTGTACCGTATATGAAAGCAACGCAAACGTTTTAAAAGGATACTTGGCTATCCCAACTCAAGCAGGCTATTCCTTTGACTCTATAGTACATTATTCGCTCTTGGAAGACAATTGCATTGGGTCCAAGCTGATATGTACATCATATTTATTGATGGTTTAGAAGTAAAGCGTTTTATTTATTTCTACCGTAGTTCGGCATGTGGAATTGTTGTTTTGTTATTATTGGTTGTAATATGATCGATGACCTTACCATATTGACGTTATGGTAATACACTTTTTACTTTGGAAATTAATCTATCCTATGCTAGCAGTATTTGTCAATGATAGTGAATTCAGCACGATCAGATGGCCATTTTTAGCTAATTTATACATAGAAGCGATCTGTATTCAATTGATGATGGTAGAAAAGCAAATTACGAGTGTTATTTCTTTTATTTATCTGCAATTACTGTCATCCTGGACTGTTTTACGGGCACCAATGATGGTAGAGATCGTATGGAGAGGATCTCTACCATTCTATCTACAGGTATATTGAAAGTATTGCGGCAATGTCTTCATTCTCTCTCTCTCAAGAGAGAGAGTACATTCATGAACTATCCAGTCATCATTATCCAATCCGATTATAATTGTGGAGCGAATGGTGTCGCAGAAATAGCAGTACTACTCGTATAGTAATACCCTATGAGAACGGCTGGAAGAGTACATTTGCTAGCGAGACTGAGATTGATGAATGATCGACGTTGAAATGCATTCAACTGCAAAGGTAAACTAGTCCATTTTGATGCAAAAAATCACATAATATATTGGATCAATGTGTCGACCTGTTGCTGCCTATTTTGATTGCTTACTCAACTACTTGACTTACTACTTTTTGTAGCAATCTTTCTTGTAGAAGAAGTGGTCTGCAAGGCCCAAGGAGACCGGCGTGTTGCAGTTAAAAAGGCCATCCTTGGATGGTGTTGTACACTGTTTATTGAGTGCGCTGGCACTGCCTACTGTACGTCTTTACAGTGGAAGAGTAGACAGTCAGACCTTACGGTTGTCAGCAATAGAACTTTTGCCACTTGCCCAACGTCAACTGAGGCTTACTGAGCGAGTGCAATAGAGAGGCTTGCCCTTTTATACTCGTTGCGGTCAGGTCAGTCAGGTGAGTCGACTGTCGCTACGTCCTACGTACGCACGTCATCCCAGTTGAGTGGTTGAACTGGTAATGTCACTTCTGTGACGTTGCATCACCACAACGCCATTTTGTTGGATGCTATCATTCAACGGTACGCTGTACTTTGTATGTACCATACTGTACTGTACAGTACAGTATACTGTATAGTCCGTGAGTCAGGCATGCTTAATTGCTTATGAGTCAGCACGTGAGAGTATAGAAGAAAGTCGTGCGATTAGCATGGGTTACAGTACAGTACAGTGTACTGTAGTGACCATACTGTACACTGTGTGTACTGTAGTGTACAGTACAGTACTGTACTGTACTAGAGAACTGGCTCACACTGTACACTGTACAGTACAGTATCGTATTAGAATGTACTGTACAGTACAGTACAGTACTGTACGTGTACAGACAGAACAGTACAGTACAAGCATGACCATCAAAGATGATATAAAATGACTCAATATTGCGTTTTGACCAGTGTCCCTTCATCGACTGTACTGCGTGTGCGCATGCCGTGCAAAGTACAGTGTTGCACAGTACAACAGTACGCAGACTCCACCTACAGTACTGTACTGTATATCCTGTACCGTGTACAGTACAAAGCGTGAGGGTTCGGATGACTGTACACTCTACAGTACAGGTCAAAAGACTGAAAAACAACAAGGTTCTACTGCGCAATTCGTTAGCCGTGTAAACAAATCAGATCCACCATTATGACATGTACAGTGTACAGTGTACAGTACAAAGCGCCAAGGTTCGGATGACTACTGTACTGTACACTGTACAGGTCAAAAGACTGAAAAACAACAACGCTCTACTGCGCAATGTGTTAGCCCGTGTAAACAAATCAGATCCACGATTATGACATTAACTGTACTGTACACTGTACTGTACAGTACAGTACAGTGTACAGTGTACAGTACAAAGCGCCAGGGTTCGGATGACTACTGTACTGTACAGTACTGTACTGTACTGTACACTTGTACAGGTCAAAAGAATGAAAAACAACAACGTTCTACTGCGCAATGCGTTAGCCCGTGTAAACAAATCAGATCGCTGACACGCTCACGTGACATGACTTTCAAATTCAAACCCAAGCGGGAACAACGTCACAGGTTGATTCTCTCGCTCTGGCCACACAACTTGCTGGCAAATAGTGCATACAGTAGAGGAACAACAGTGGGATATGCGCATCGCTATTCCATCAAGACAGTCAATCATGCCCCCCCAAATTTGAATTCATAAATTCAGTTCATAACTGTATCTGACCCATTTGTTGTCACCACTGTAATTGACTGCTATCATATCCAGCATCTTCTTGACAGCCATATTGAATTTTGGGCACATTTTAAATTGAGTGATTACAACGTTCAGAAGAAAGAAAGCATAAGAAGAAGGAAGTGAGTCGATTCACTGTTCGTTCTTGTCTATTTTTTCACTGACGTCAATTCATTCTAGCTAGGATGGAATAACTAGTTTACGGTCTTTTGCCAATGAATTCATGATACTGTTAGTCATTGGAAGACGACAAGCGTTACAGCCTTTGATAGTAGGATTCTATTCAATCCTGTTCAAAATTGAGTATACAAGCGCTAGGTCGTCCAGGACTTTCAATATTGATCAATAAACTAATTGAAAAAAAAAAAACTACTACTCTACTGTACATATCGCCATGTCAAATGTTAGTAGACACTCTATCCAATCAGTTACTTGACTCTTTCGGTTCAAGCCGATTTGACAGATCCACCGGCTATACATGGGCTATGCTGGTGTGCTTGTGAAATCCAATTGATCCTATTTTCTCACCACAGGAAATGATTGTCTACGTAAAATAATACAAATTGGAAGTTTATTCTTCATGTTATTTTGAAAGGACATGGCTAAAAATGAAAGCTTCAACTCGGCTACTGGATTGAGTCCGTTATTTTCTCCGTCATTGCAAGGTCAAAAACGTCGTCAAAGTGGCTATGGTTCCAGCAGTCCACATATCATCGATAATGATGATAGCCGAGAACGACGTCAACGCCGTCGTAGTCGCTTGAGTGGTGTTGAAAGTCCTTTAACTAAGGATCATACCAAAAAACGGTATCTTCAAGTAGAAAGGATAACATGTTTAGCAGTAGTGTTCACATTCGTCATATCACCTTAGCTTTAAGACAACAAAAAATTTCATAGGACTCTTCAACTACAGTACCTATTGAAAATACATCAGTTATGCTTCCAAATCTAAAATTGGCCAATTCTACTAGCTTTACTGCAGATGATTCATATCGACTCCAAGTGTGCTACTGTAGCTTACATTCAACCAACAGTCACCAGTCAATTTTCACCATACCTACAGTATGACTCGTACATTAACTATTATTACTGTCATCATCATTACAATGCTTATTTATAATTATCAAATAAACTTGTACTAATAACGTAATCAAATCAGAACCATTTCAGACCTACATACTCGTTTTTGATTGATTATTAATATCGAATTCAATTGTAAATAGGTCCGCGGTAGTGGACGCATCTGACGGATTGACCAATGCCCAACTCAAAGAACATTATTCCAATTGCATTAAATTATCCACGGAAAATGTACGTAGATATTTAGTTGTCTTGTTCTTGGCTAACTGACAGTGTTATACCTTACCAAAAGAGTTGTTAGTTTGAAATACGCGTACACCATCGAAATGATTAATTATGATGCAATACTATACGGTATATTAACCTTAATGTACATGCAATACAAAGATCTGCTTTATCTGGCTCCTACTCTCGTATCCATTTTGCACCATAGCCAATTAAGTAATCCATTTTTATCATTTTGCCTTGATCTCTTCATCTACAAAATGAATGAACTAGAAAATCACATCAAAAAATGCTTTCGCCTTGCATTTAATTGACTACATGGCTGACGTTATTAAGAATCAAAATGGAGCAACTAATTTTCAGGTCGGATTCTAATCTTGTGCATGCAACAAATACAATATTTATCGCCTTCTATTTCTTAACAATTCAATGACTGCTGTTGTTAAAATTCATTTTGAGATTGATTAAATACAGCACGTATGATAGTCTTAATTTTACAATTAGGGTTAGAAAAAAGCACTAATAAATTGAATCCTAACTCATTCAGTAGAGATATCATGTAGTCAGTAGAGTATTAATTTTTTATATTTTATCGAAACTGGATAAAGATTGCAAGTTGCACGCTGGATGCTAGTGCTAAAATTTATGCTGGACGTATCGATAGTGTACATAGTGAGGCTTATAAAGTATTAGGAGGGTTAGGAAGATCGGAAGGTAAGCTGCTAGATGTCATTTCATTTCTGCTACTATTTGTATATAATCGTCGATGAATTCTATGTCAAATAGATAAAGAAAAAAATCAAGATCAGAATGATACCGAAGATAGTGATAAAGCACGCAGAAAGGTTACAAACTATCTGACAATTTGACCTTCTTTAATGAAGTAAATTTATACGCCAAATTAATGCCTATGATGATGTTACAAGAGAACTTGTTATCTAAAGTCAATCTCAGCTATTTTATGCTAGCTGCCGCTTACTGTACTTGTCATACAGTATATGCAATAAGAATTCCATTAATGCACGTATATCTGGTTATCAAGAAATAGTTACTATTTAAATAGTTATCTCGCTTATTTTTAGCCAGGATATTTTTTTATGCATCTGAGTAACAAAAAACTACCATACAAATTGTGTAATAGAATCTTGCCCGAAAAGTTCAGACTATCGAAGAAAATGTTGCTTCTTTAAATACGGAACACATCGATTTACAGTTTGAAGTAAGTTACTACAATATTATAAGCATCTCTTTGAGAAAGTTTATTTTCATTCTTTTCATATAACTTAATTCTTACTATGTTTAAATTCTTTACAGGTTGACCCGCTATTCCAAAAGAATAGCGCAGCCTTTGACGAATCTGGGACTGCGGGACTACTCTTACATACGCTGTTTTTTAATGACGACAGTATGGATGAAATTAGCATTAATTCAAACGTTATAGCCAACACGACTAGGTGCTATTTTAAAGATGAAAACAAAGAAGAAGTTTCTGATGAGATGACTGTTGATATCAGCGAATGGAAGGGTAAGAATATTGTAATTATTATCGTATCATATATTTGTGACTAATGCATTACGCGCTATTGAATAAATAGTGACAATATCATCAATTAAAATTTCACGTAAACTAGGATGTTTAAGGTGCTTATGTACGGAAGATTTAAGCATATGTCCTAAGATCGATTATTTATCTTCGAAAGCGACTCACGATTCAAATCAGGTACTACTTTTGTAGACTGTTGTTTTTCTTATGGAATATGTTATCAGTGGTTAATTCCATATCTCTTTCTATCAACAGAATGCTGTAACTTCTAATCAAATTATGAATCACTCCTTTACGGCTAATCCATCCGGTACGGTTGCGTATACAATTTAACCTTAATATTCATTTGCGATTAAGATTCATTCATCCGTATACAGTCTTTTTAAAATGTGTTTTTTATTCTTTTAAATGTAGATAACAGTCTGCAACATTATGATTATATCGATTCTGACGATGACGATGATGGCAACGATATTCCGAATAAAACAATTGATGATGTTCGAGCTCAGATAGATTTTACTCATGATCAAGAAGCCGCACATTTGGATGAAAATAATCCTATGTATGTTCACTACTGATACCAGCAAGAATAAGAAATTATCTAGTAATTTTGATATGATGGTTTATCATCTTTGTAGTGGGGCAATGTTTCGCCCAACGAAGGATCCGAAATTATTTCTAGAGTCTGCATTGAAACTATCAGAGTACTCTTACTTCAATAATGCCGTCTTGGCTACCTGGGCTGGTCCTAAACATTGGAAATTGCAGCCAATTTCTCGTGAATTAAAATCTACCGATAAGCATAGTAGACCAACAAGTCAAAAGCGAGTGCCATTCAAAGTTGATTTCTCCGCTGATGTCGATTTTGAAAAATGTTTCTCGAAAGGAAAGGTTGTAATTATTATATATCATCTGATTATTCTAAAAAGTAAATCGAAAAGACTTTTTGACATTGACTGTACTGAATATGTTACAGAGTGCTATAACGTTGTCAAAAGCTACCCTTAAGGGTCGTTCATCAGAGCAGACTACGCTACCGGAGGACCTGCATTACGAAGCAGATACACTGTTTTTATTATTCACAAAGCCAAAAATGATGGTACGATATTGTTATACACGAAATGAAAAAACTTTAAAATTTATTTTGCTAATGTTTTTATAATAGAAAATAAATTTTACTTTTTGATTGACAGGTAAAGTGGCATCAAGGAAATCAAAGCGATACAATAGAAGATGATAGCAATTGGTATGATTATAATAATCCAAATGATCGCCAAAATTACTGTCCCAATGTCGCGGTAAGAACAATTTTTTATTTATGAAGGATTTACGACTACCTATACCTGTATGATGTAGCTATCCGGTTCTGAATTGCTTATAATAATTAACATTACTTCTAAAAATAGGTCGACTACGATGATGATGACGATGACGATAGAGATAACTTTGAAGCAGATCAACTTCAAAGTGTTCAATCGAATATGGCTCAAAGTGGTTTTAATTTAGACATGTTAGACGATACACAATTAGTTACAGAACCGAGGAAGGTAACTGACTGTAATTTCAGATATATGCCGTTATGCTTATATAGTGTGCGTTGATTAATTAAGATGGATAGTTAATAATACGATATCATCAATCAATTTTCAGGTAAATAAAATTGAAATAAATTATGCGAAAACGGCGAAAAAAGTGGATGTAAGAAAATTAAAAACTGCAATGTGGGATGCTCTTTGTAAACCGACCGAAGATGCGGTATCTATTAAATCACAGAAATAATCATCTTTCTAAGCTAACCTAAGCTTTGTTGGAGGGGCGTTAATGACATTAAGTTGTTTTGGTTTTATTTCAACAGGATAATAAAGAAAACTTCAATGAGAACATTAATCCAGAAATATCACAACAGGAGACGAAGTTATTAGAAAAACTTACTACTGAACAGTCATTTAAAGAAGTTTATCACAATATCCCTAAAAAGATATCAGGTTCAACGGCAAAAAATCTTTCGGTGCCTATCTGTTTCGTTTGCTTACTTCATTTAGCAAATGAAAAGGTGAGCAAAAATGTTTTAAGCCATAGGCATTTACTGTTAATTCAGAAATTGTCAAATTATAAGCTAGTATGGGCGATGTATACTATAAGATTTTGCTTATGTAACACAGACTAGTGTAATAGTTAATTTTTTAACATGGATGTAATTTATAGATTGTGCCCACTTTAATTGATCTAGATTATTTTATATAACATGTTTCTACGATTTGTTATTATAGATAATACGATAATTTAGGGAGTCTAATTATATATTTTATCTTTTTGGCTTTGTTATCGCATGAATAGAATCTTCAAATTACCGGTAATGAATCAATGGCTGACTTGTTAATTACTCAGGATCAGTAATAAAGTTGAACTCATCACCTGAAAATAAACAATTTTAGTAAACGACATAATTTTTTTATAATTTTATCCTACTACTTACATGTATTTGCTAATGCAGTCCCTTCGTTTAGTTACCCTAAGATTCGAAATCGATGTTTGTGCATTGCTGTAACATGTATCTGTGCAGCTTTAGCATTATGAACAAAATGCTACTTATAAAGATATAATTTACATTATCATCATATTAGTGTCACTATCTGTGATATAAATTCTATCGGTTGTCGACTATAATTTAGTTTTCAGTAAGATATCATGATACATACGTACTGAATGTCTGAGCTTGCTATGTTTCTCGTAAGCTTTGTTTGAGGTTCAAATTTTGTTTAACATGGTTAATATCTGTATCGCGTCTACAGACAGTAACATTAAGTATCGTTTGTTACTAGCATTAATTATCCGCAGTGTCCGTATTTTAAGCATTAATGTACAGAACCTATAATCTATAGAATACATTACATTAATTAGAAATAAATCGGCGCTCACTGCTGGTACCGTGTAAGCGAATAAAATCTAATTGTTAATTTCCTTTTAACTTGTTTTGTACCTTCTAACATTCGATAAATTATTTTCTCTATAAAATGATTGCCTTGTCGGTTACAGATTCTAAGTTCTATACTTCAGAGTTGAGGGTAGAATGTAACGTAAATGTCATAAAGCGCAGACATTTAGGATAAATAATACAAGCATTCATAGTTATTTAAACTAAAATATCAGTATGCCGCAATTATCAGTTACCTTAGAGAGCAGATTATGACTGATACATTATAAGCTCTTCTGATTTTATTACTATTCGTAAGTATCTATTCTAGCGTTTCAAGATAATTACCTCCTCAATACGAGTATTAAGAGCGGTAACGGGCTAAAACTAATAAGCAAATAAAATATGTTCTTATGGTAGAAGTCTACTACTAGAATATATCGTAGTTTCTAATCGGTAGTTACAGTCACGAATTAACTTGTGTCGTGATCAATTAATATAAGGCATTAATAAGAGCATTGAGTTAAAATCTACCTTTACTGATATCGTGAATTCTAATATGTATTGATGCGAATTTGAATTGAACTTTACTATCTCTGAAGATGTCCTCTCAAAGGTACGTAAAAGGAAGCCTACGTACAGAAGCCACATAATTAACAGAGATTTTTGTTTTACTGTACAATTAAACATATCGATATTAAAGTTACTTACCGACTAAGTACAATATGCAAATCAACAAATATAAAATTAATTACGATGTAAAGTACAATGTATCACTTACATGAGTGAGCGACAAGTAAAATTGAGTAACATTTAAGTTAATCGCATATAATTAGTGTCCTTCCTAAAGCAAATATTTTTATTAATTTTACAAAATAAATCTTTCCAGATACATGAAAACAAATTAATTACGATTAGTTATTATCATCATTATATCCTATAATTAATTTAGCATTATATTTTAGCAGACGAACAGTACATTCGATAGCCCTATAAGGCTATGTTCAATAATTTGCAATGCGGATTTTAATTACGTAGTTTACAAGAGAGATACCGTTAAAGTAAATAGCATAAACATATATAAGAATTCAACATTGCAGCAGATATCTCTATTTGAAATAATTATCATTAGTCTTTCATTGATAATTATAATTAATACAGAACAGAAATGTTACGTAAAAAATTTTTCAATGAGATGACTACCAAATTTACCTTTACATTCGAATAACCGATTTATAAACATCCTCAAGTTATTACCATGTCGTATATTATTTACAATTTATAAGTACAAAAATATCTACATTTACAAGAGCAGCTACCCAGTTATAAATTTAACTATAAATTAAATTAAGCAACATTGACCTGAGCTGGATTACAATTGTAGTATGAGTTTACTCTTGGCCAGAATTGAATCTCGTTTGCTTCTAATGTAGTAAATCGATCAAACTATTTACATAATTTATATCTTAGAAAATTAAATTCAAAAATGCATGGAATGCAAAGATAGATTATCAATTTCGTTAGAATCAGCTCGACTTTCTTCAATTTCCTGCACTCTTAAACTGCTTTCCTGGACTACTAGAGTAGAAAGCGCACCAAGTAACTCCTCACACCTATTTGATAAGATTGAACTCTATTAATAAAGGTATTATATATGTATGTACTGTAAATTCGTAATTATACGACACAATTATTCAGAATATTACAGATAAGTTACCTATGCAACTCTTTGCCTTCGACAGTTGCTTTATCAGCTAAACCACACATTGACTGGGAAACTGCTGTTACCTGCATTCGATAAGGAAAAAATTGATTTAACGAGTTACTTTGACTATAAAAAAATTAATTCTCTAGCTAATAGTATATGTCGTTAGTGATTTTACACATACATTTTCTTGATTATGTCGGGTAATACTTATAATTTCTCCCAATAATTCTTCACTTTCTCCTAACGCACTTATTACTTCATCTGAAAGTAGTAACGTAATTGCTCTGATCAGAATTGCTATTATGCTTTACCAGTATCAAATGACTCAGGCAATCACTACCATGATCGTCCATGTATAGTATGCCTTTTGTACGTAAAACATGGCTGACAGCATCTAGGCCTTTCGCAAGATTGCTATAATCCGACTTAACTCTCGGTAATAGATCTCCAATAACTTGAAGTTCAGATTTCTGTGAAGTACGTAATAAACGTCTTATAAGTAACACAAATCCTTTATTCGACTATTACTTTCGCGTTACTTTCGTATGTTACAACGTCCACCTTTACATCACATTAATACCTGCATGTCTAGGACATCATCTAGTAGAGACGTATGCTTGGCTAGTTGAAGTTCTAACTTTAATTGAGTCAGTTTCCTATTTTGCTGATGAAGATACTTCCACATGGAAAAAATTTGGTTCTATAGAGAAAAAAGATAAATAATGTTGTTAAAAATATATGTGCGCCTTGTATATGTTCAATGGTGTAGTAAATCATAGCTAAGAAAGTTCTGAATTATGAATCTTACCATGGCTTCTTTTTCTTGGGTATTGACTGTGTGCTTCAGCTATACACATAGAGCTCAGTGTTAAAGTTATAATACAAAACCCTATCAATAACACGGAACACGCATGGCATAATACACAAAAAATGAAAATTACCTTTTGATAGGCAAATACCCACTGCATCAAACGAGCGTAAACTAAGTCCAGTTCAGATTGTGTCACTTCAATAGATCCTTTCTTCTATTAATCAACACGATAGGAAAAAAGTACGCACACTTTTTAATTATCAAGGCGAGCATAACAGAGTCTGGCTTGCAAGATTACCTTTTCCATTTGTATTCTCGTTTCCGCTATAAAGCAAACGTAAATAGTTATTAACCAGACAAACGTAAATTTATGGAATGCGGCAGATATAAAGTTATTACCTTTGTTGTCAACTGTGGTATTAGCTGTTTCCTTTTTATCCGTAGGCAAGACCTTTATGGGTGGTTTTCGCTTACTGGCAGAAGCAATTGGAGTTTTTGTATTGCGGCTCCTCCTAATACTGAAGTCTTGCGGTGTTCTGACAGTTCGCAGTTTACTGGCCTGTTGTCGATCGCTAGGGGTAGAAGCCATGACATCTGGAATAAAAAATTGATACGAGGATAACATTTATATGGGAATTCTGAACACTTTAATTGACATGAGTATGTACCTTGCTTCTTTCCTAGTCGCGAAAAAGATTTTGCTGTAATACCGGTATTTGAAGTTTTTGGAGTAGTCCTAGTAGCATGTAGATCATGGCGACCAATCATAGGTCCCTTTTCAGCTTTCGAATGAGATTTACCAACCTAGAGTAAAGTTACTTTAATAATTAAGACAGAATGGTGAAGGACACCAACTAAAGTGAATAATTTACCGTAGTTGTTTTTGTTCTATTCGTAGATATTCCGCTCAGATAACGGGAAGCAACATATCGGGCTATTTTGTTAATATAACAGTATGAGAGCAAACAATTGAAGTACGGTATTATTAAAAGTTAAAGTTATTACAAGGAAAATAGTTTAATTACGTTTAGGTTTGGTATTCTTTTTCACGGATTTGCTGAGGATAGAGAAAAAATTAAATTAATTTGGCCGATCTAACTTACAGACTATGTCACCACTTCAACTGCAGTATTAATTACCACTTGCACAATGTTTACGAAAATTTGCAGATATGTAGAGTAACATCTTTTAATTAATTGTGATTATATTAACGAACCGAATAACATCTTGATCAGAGTCGAGATCTTTATTCGTTACTAATTGAGTTACATCTAAAAAAATAAGAATAGCTATCACAGGTTTGTTTTTGTACTAATGCAGAGAATTTAAAGCTATAAATTCAATTTACAAATGACAATCAAAGTTCTCGTACCTTGAGCTTCAATATCGTTAATCTTTACTTTTGTATTATCAACGCTACTGGCAGATTCCAATGCTAATACGTTATCTACCACTTCTTCGTGTTTCCTTTCTTCTTCAGCAATTCTGTCAAAGGTTATTACACCATTTATAGGTGATCATCTATTTAATGCACTACATCAAGATGCAATTTATGCTATAGTACCTGTCAGCGATTTTAATTCGTACACGAGGAACAGCAGTAACGTGAACACTATCGTCTTTATTAGAATTTTTTTCAGAAGGAGAATGGCAGACAACCTTAGCAGCTGATTTCGCTACGGTAGTTACAACGGCAACTTCCGTTGCCTGTGGATCGGCAGTACGACCAAGGGCATCAACAATTAGAACAGGAGAGTTGCCAACTTTAGGCGTTGGAGAATTTGCCTGATTGAAAGTCAATCAAGTGTTTATTAAGATGCAGCATCCAACTACGAGTTGATAATATTAAGCTAATATACGATAAATATGGCCATGCCACAATTAAATGAAGTACCATTAACGATGACAATGCAGCTCTTGTTTGCTTAGAAAAATTGGCATCATCGCTACTGGTATCGCGATATCTTTCATCATTTGCATTTTGATTTGCCATTATGTTACTCTGTATATTTGATCTCATTGCATCTTTAGATAGTGCTGTTCCTTCAATGACAGTAAGGTCCTTTGGATCTTGTTGACTTTCTTCTTCATCAGAAAAAAGGGAGACATCGTCTTGATAATTATCATTTCCCTTTACTATCGGTTGAACGCTAAGTAATTCATAAAGAAACGCGAAGAAAATTGGTAAACTATGCGTGTAAGCCAAGTGATATTAGAAGTCTATATTTATCTAATTAAGTTTGTTATGAGTTAATAACAAGTTCGAATTATTAAAAATTGTATGAGGTCAACAGTACATTGTCGTTGTTCATATGTACTGTACACTATGAACAAGCATGAGAATGGTATGTAGCATGATATATGAATAATTGCTGTAGTGCATGCTCATAACTTTTAAGATTGTATATGAGCTTTTAAATTGTTAATTATTACAGCAATATCAAATCCTTGTTATTTAGATTTATATATCGACAGTACTCTACGCTGACCTTTATTACATTAAGATAAGAATCACTATTACGGCCAGTTATACGAAATGACTGACATTGTATGATAGTATTTAAGATAGCACTAATTACTAAAATTACATTCCAATATAGCGGAAGATAGCCAGGCCTATCAAATTATGTTGGAAATTATTTTATCTATTGAATAAGTCTTACCTAGCATATATAATAGTTAATAGGATTGTGATGATCTATACTGTACAAATTATAATCCTATCCCAGAGCTTGAATGACATCTGATTAGTAAGCTAGTTTGCAACTAACAAACCACTACATATCGTTTAAGACAAATGTATGATCGTGGCACCATATACTGTACGTATACTACATTTGATGAAATCGCATACGTGAATGTGATCAAAGTATCAAACTAGTCAACAATTAATAAACTGCTACATGACCTTTAATATTATCCATAATCATGGCACTTTATATACTACGTATGATCGAATCGTCATAGCGATCAGACTATGAAGACAATCTACAACTAATAAACTACTATATGATATCTATGATCTCATGATAAATGCATAATTACTACATTGATTGCATATAGTCCATGCGATCAAATCGCAATATGTGAATGCCATCAGACTATTTGGCTAGTCCATAATTAACAAGCTACAGCATGACATTCAAGCTTAATGGCACTACCTATACGATGTAAGATCAAATCGCAATACGTAAATATTTGTCAATATCATTAGACTAGTAGACTAGTCTACAACTAAAAAACTACCAGAAGGCATTGAAGTTTAATGTATAATTTACAGTTAACACAGTACTAAATCGCAATATTTGAGCGTCATCAGGCTACTAAGCTAATCTACGACTAACAAACTACTACCTTACAATGATAATCCTAATCAGCTGCTTCTTTATAATCGGTTATAGAATAAATTCTACGTCTAAAAGTGAACTTCAGTGATAGACACAAATTAAGCCTAGTGTCCATTATCTGCAAGGGTGTCGTTCTACATTATTATTACTTTGCATCCACTTTAAAGTCATTGTGGCCATCCACTACATAGAACATCATCCATTCAATAACTATTAAATCACTGCATAAGTTACCTCGTATTAACAGATTGAAATAAGGACCGCTTCGTCTCCGTTTTATTCTGATCTTCTGGGAAAGCATTGTCGCCATTACTGTATACGTGTAAATCAACAACATAATCGATCATGAAAATGGATGATGATAGTAATTGTCTAATTTATCGAGCTACAAGTATGGAAAAGACTGAGTATATAATACAATTTTGGTTGTATTAGAGTCAATAATAAGTTATAACGTGGTCAATCGTTTAGTAATAATTATGATTAATCGATAGCTGTAAGTAATCTAGTCGTTGTTGTATACACTCGTATACAGTCCATTCCAACCTGATCTGAGCGATCAAATAGCCTTGGCTTAACGTTTTCCTATACATTGAAATTGAAATAAAAAGAAAAAAATTCTCTTTTAACCAAAGGGATCAATGAATCCATGATATTACTGCAGTCTTCATGCGTTACCTTGTTGGGCTGCTGGGTATATGCTGATGTAGAACAGCAGGGCGATATAATTGTTTCTTCCGAGCTTGATCAGCCATTTTTTCTCATGGCAACAGCGATTCGAACTTTGGCGGGTGAGTCATACTGCGAGTGTAACTGTCTACAGTATGAGAGCAGTCTATTACAGTGTACAGTGCAATGTGGTACAGTACTTTACTGTGCTGTACTGTACAGTACTGTACATTGTGACTACTGTCTCCACAAAAATAATGTCACCCATCGTGATTCACTTGCTAGTGACAGTACTGCTCTGGCTATGGTAATCATGACATAAGTTTTGCAAGCGATTCTTAATGGCTCATCCATACACAGTAACAATGATACTAGGGCAGAGAGACTAATTTGCGAAAAACTGCACGATTCTTATCCCGGGGACATGGAGTTCTAGAAATTACTACAGTAGTAATCTATAGTAGTCAATGTCTACGACAAAGGGGATTACTAAAAGAAAGACTGAGACTTTCCTTCTTCTTAGTAGTTCTCATACACGATATACGAACGTAAAACGATGACTGAGTGAATGTATCGTATACTGGTACTGTGAGTTGCGTACGAAATGATGTCACTATGACCTGGCATGAGTTGTATGTATGTCACTAGGAATCAATCGCCGTAGGTGACATATATTTTGCATGTTTAAAGCGTTTAGGATTTGCCAGGCCAACTGATTAGATGCACTTTTCAATCGATGCGCATGATCAGTAATTTCAATCTTGTCGCCATGCCAACTGACTTGTCAACCATCGAATGCTTTCATGGCATAAATAGACTGCACAAAACACATCGACGACATGTAATATACTTACTTAAACACGTAATCGCATTAAATAGAATGACATAGAAAAATCACTCGACAACAAAATTATGTAAGAAATGGATGTTGACACTTCTATAGCGTAGCTTATGCAATTTATTCAATATGACTTGACTAGAACTTTATTCGTCAAGAGGCTAAACGACTAACATTTTGGGAAGCAAATCCATCTATATATCGAGATATAAATCCATCTGCAAGTATAATCTGATTGCAGCTCAATTTTATTGGTATAGCCAATATCAAGTATTAAACTATCATCTCAATTTAGAGGGAAAGGCAATTTGTAATGGTCACCTTGTGATTATTATTGGGTATATCCAAGTCCAAAGTGATCATCTTGAACAGGATTCAATCAAAATAAATTAAACTATTATAGTAGCCAAGCGATGGATAATAAAATTCGAATTATATTGGGCGCTCTTAATCAAGAAAACGATAAAGTACTCTTAAATGAAGTCTACCAATTGCTGAAATATGGTGTCGAAGTGCGCGATGACTCTGTGGACGCTATCCAAGCAAGTTGGTATGTCTTAACTGCGGAAGTCGCTTTCGAGGTCAGTAACAGATTATATCGTCTTTGCTTAAACGAAATACCTCTAGCCTTTTAAAATGATGGATTAAAGTACGTAATTTATCTATAGAATAATCAGCTATATAGATGATTATTTCTGTCGAGATTAAATTGTAAAATTTTCATGTTGAATTGATACTATTAATCAGAGAGTTGCAAACTATGTCAATAATGGACTACTATAAAAAGTAATTCAATCACTCGTGAAGGGCAATTATTTCGTCATGTAAATAGCTGTAGTACGAGATATCAATATATAGTCTCATGATTAATTAATTCGTATAGTGGTTGTGCACTTACGCAAAAAAAGGTGACTACATGCAACTTGATGTATAATTTTATGAACTTAAGTTTTAACAACGATGAAGTAAGTAATTCACGCCTGAGTAGCAGCCAACTACGAAGCTATACAATAAATACACGTTTTCTATCCATTGTACGTAAACAGGTATTACTCTCTATAATACCTTATTAGGCTACAGTGCTGCATCTTCATAAAACTGAACTACTATATTCCAATGTAGTATTATACACCATAATGGATGATATGAGATACTGTATATGTCCTAATTACTTCTACTTGCATATACGCGTATACCTATATCGTAATTAGTGACACATAACATTACATATATACATTATTATCGATCGTTATTCATTATATCGACAAGACACTAGCATTAGAAACTGTATAATAACCGATTTAAGTGGATACTAAGGATGCAAGGCTTGCAAACTAGTCTAGTAAATGCTATAAAGAAGATTTAATCACTAAGTGATAAACGATTAATTTGCCATATAAGGGATTGAAGTACAGAAAATTATAGTATTTACATCATGACCAATTCGCATGATAATTTCTATTTTGCATTAAGTCATAACAGCTTTCTTCAACTGCTTATACTAGAGAGGCTATCGAGCGTTAGCCAAGGACTGCTTGGAAATGTTCTTCAGGAAATCTCCACCCGAAGACCAATTTCTTGGAAGGGGATATTTATGCCAAGCTCAGCTTAATGCGCCAGTATCCAAGAAAGACACTGTAAACACTAATTTAGTAAATCTTTTTATTTCTGATTTTAACTCAACTGTCTATTTACGTTCGCTATATATATTAAATTGCTGATCTTCTACAGATAATAATACGAAATTTTTATTCTCTTAAAGGAAAATTTGGAAGTTGCAGTATCGTATATTACTAGGGCAATCAATTTTGCTAGAAAGACTACTAGGTCAATATTATTCTATTGCGTCAACATTTCTATATTGTCCTTTTATTCTAATTATTATTTATCGCTTTTTAAAATATTCTTTTAGGTATCATTTTCTGGTTTATAACGCTTCAGTTATTTATTGGAAGTTTTGTCGGCCATTTTTAACAGCTGGCCACAGACACCATTTATCAAAATCTCTACATAACATAGTCAAAGCTTTAGATGATATAGATGATAAAGATTACGAATGGAGAACTAAACTTCTGATGTAAGATCTACAACACCATAAAGTCATCAACAGCTAATAGTACAAAATATCTATATCCAGAAAAAGAAATTAAAAACTCTACGTCTTTCTTATAAAACAGTGCTTTAATTGAATGCCACATTGATGCTGGAAGAAGAGAAGATGCGATCAATGTTGCTCAAGTTGCTGCTAGTTTCACGAAATCGCATATTCCGGATACATTTAAGGATATTTTCGAGTTACAGGTTATTTTTGCATATACAGCACATGCTTAAGAATTATCAACTTTAATGTCATTTAAACACACTCATAACCATTTCGCGCATAAAACATTATAATTCTGTACATACGGGTATATATCCTGTATAACCTAAATTTTTAAACTCTCATGTAATAATATTCGACTCAATCTTACATCGCCGCCTTATTTTATTCTAAATTGGATTTTACAGATTGTGCACAGATTGGCTGATCCTCAAAAATTAGTAAAAGATGCAAAACTCGCTATAAATTTAAATATACTATATCGTATGAAGAGATTAAGACTGTGAGTAAAATGAGATATTAACTATTATTCCACCTCATTCAAAAGTTATTTGATACAGCGTTAATAATAACTCTTAAAAGCAAGTAAATAGTATCGTTTCTGCAAACACTTTCGTAAGTAATCAAATAATTGATTTTAATAAACAGCACATTTGAAGGTAAAGAAGTACCACAAGCAGGGAAGACACCGGTGGAACAAGTTGATATTGATTTAGGCAGATTAATAAAGCGAATCTTACGCGAAGAAGACAGTAGTGCACCAAGTGGGCGAAAGAGTGTAACCCCTGGAGGTTCACTGACCCAAGAAGAACAGTAAGATTTATTGAAATGTTCTTCTATCGTTAAAAAATTATTCTATCCCTAAAATTCATACAATATTCGCACGATACTCGCATCCAACCAAATTTTAAAATTTTTATCTTGATTATATCTTCACTCCTAGAATCAAATTTCTGCTAGAACTTGCAGTAGAACAGAAGAGTAGAATAGTACAGACACTATTGCTGTTATCGATCGATAAAGATTATGGCTTAAATGGTGGGATGAGTTTGAAGAGCGAACGTACGGAAATCCTGAAAACATTAATAAATAACAGTGGTTTAAATATAACGCAAGAAGACATTATATTTCTGAAACCAGATGAAAATGGTATGAAATATATAGCAGATAAATTACACATACAACTCCGGGCACATGAAGTAGAACTGGCTATGACAATAGACAACATGAAACCGCAATGTGATGATTGTACGCTAGTTAGTTATGGTATGGTTGCGTTACCTAAATTTAGTAGTATGCCGTATTTCTTTACATCTAATGTCCGTGATCTACATCAATATTCCTCTGAACAATTTCCGTTCATTAGTAAAGATCTTATAACATCAGATAAATGCTTTATGTGTTTGCAATTGGCTGATGTGTTACATCAACAATACTCGTTTTCTATCCCAGATAATCTATCTACGTTCACAATTGTTAGTGGTGATTATAACATCATAGACGTACGCAACGTCTTGCCTATATGTAAGCATGCATATGAAACAACCATTGCACGACATGATGTCATTGACAACAACTTTTATTGGAACATATATAAGAACATGTAATACGTTACAGTTTTTTAATAAACGAAAGTATACGGTCATTGTCTCTTTGATGTTTCGACTTACCAAATACGCTTAACCAGCGTAATAATTTGGTTTGATGCAATTCTCGATCGAACCGATTCTGAAATCGTGATAGAATACTAGACATTATAGTTTTTAAATCATAAGTTGTACTAGTCTGCAAGGTTTCTAAACCAGCTTCAGCGTCCTGTACAATAGTTCTAGCAGAATCCATCGATTCATATGTTAATATGATATTATAATGATCAAGTAGTTCTTGTATTTCTTTCTTCTTTTTCTTTTCTCGTTTATATTTAAGTACGTCCTTTTTACTTTTAGTGGCGGTCTTGAATGCTCGTATATTCGCATGAAAAGCCTGAATTTGCATATAACCCATATATATATCATTGGATGTATATGAATCAAATTCTTTGATGCGTAATTCTTTATATGGGTATGTTGTTAGGTGTCTATGGTTCGGCTCGTGTATGTCCATGATCGGTTCTCTAACAACACCACCATCGTCGTGTTGTTCTGTTTGTTCCACTGTCTCTGTGTATGTAACATGTGTATATACGTCAGATGTGTTTCTTGGTTAAAGTAATTACAAGGAAAATAGTTTAATTACGTTTAGGTTTGGTATTCTTTTTCACGGATTTGCTGAGGATAGAGAAAAAATTAAATTAATTTGGCCGATCTAACTTACAGACTATGTCACCACTTCAACTGCAGTATTAATTACCACTTGCACAATGTTTACGAAAATTTGCAGATATGTAGAGTAACATCTTTTAATTAATTGTGATTATATTAACGAACCGAATAACATCTTGATCAGAGTCGAGATCTTTATTCGTTACTAATTGAGTTACATCTAAAAAAATAAGAATAGCTATCACAGGTTTGTTTTTGTACTAATGCAGAGAATTTAAAGCTATAAATTCAATTTACAAATGACAATCAAAGTTCTCGTACCTTGAGCTTCAATATCGTTAATCTTTACTTTTGTATTATCAACGCTACTGGCAGATTCCAATGCTAATACGTTATCTACCACTTCTTCGTGTTTCCTTTCTTCTTCAGCAATTCTGTCAAAGGTTATTACACCATTTACAGGTGATCATCTATTTAATGCACTACATCAAGATGCAATTTATGCTATAGTACCTGTCAGCGATTTTAATTCGTACACGAGGAACAGCAGTAACGCGAACACTGTCGTCTTTATTA